ATGATGGGGCAGAAAGTCCAGGCAGATCAGGACAAAACCACAGATTGCCTCATTCAGACATAACAAGAAACCATAATTATCACAAACTAGGAAGTGAGAAAGGTCAACTGTGTCCTGGTTCTATTTGAACAGGGCATTTTTCCAAGCAATAGCAGAAAAAGACTGCCTTCAAAACACATTTCCCAATATATATAAAAGAATTTTAACTAGATGGGAGAATAACATCATGTAGGGGTAAAGAATTGGGGTTAAACTGCCCATGAACTGGTAAAGAAAGAAAAGTTCCTCTCTGATAATCAGGACCCAGATGGAAGTTATTATTGTTTTATTAAAGATTCTAATTGCAAAGAAGTATGCATGAATTGTCCGTATAGTTAAAGCCACGGTTTTCCCAGTAGTGATGTATGGAAGTGAGAGCTGGACCATAAAGAAGGCTGATCGCCGAAGAATTGATGCTTTTGAATTATGGTGCTGGAGGAGACTCTTGAGAGTCCCAGAAGATCAAATCTATCCATTCTTTAGGAAATCAGCCCTGAGTGCTCACTGGAAGGACAGATCGTAAAGCTGAGGCTCCAATACTTTGGCCACCTCATGAGAAGAGAAGACTCCCTGGAAAAGACCCTGATGTTGGGAAAGATTGAGGGCACAAGGAGAAGGGGACGACAGAGGACGAGATGGTTGGACAGTGTTCTCGAAGCTACCAACATGAGTTTGACCAAACTGCGGGAGGCAGTGGAAGACTAAACAACAACAACAACAATGTGTGAATTGCTTTCAATCCAAGCACTTTTGTAAGAAAAGCCCCCAATTATTGTGGATGAAGTTTATAGAGGCTACTTTCTCAATTCTATGTGGTGGCATACAATGCAGAACTCTAGTGGCACCCTCTGTAAAGCATTGGGACACCTCCATCCTGCCTAATAGCCACAAACCCACTGTCATTTCCTATTACAATATATAGACATATGTTGTTGTTTATTCTTCTAGTCGTGTCTGACTCTTTGTGACCCCATGGACCAGAGCACGCCAGGCACTCCTGTCTTCCACTGCCTCCCGCAGTTTGGTCAAACTCATGTTGGTAGCTTCAAGAACACTGTCCAGCCATCTCATCCTCTGTCGTCCCCTTCTCCTTGTGCCCTCAATCTTTCCCAACATCAAGGTCTTTTCCAGGGAGTCTTCGCGTCTCATGAGGTGGCCAAAGTATTGGAGCCTCAGCCTCAGCTTCAGGATCTGTCCTTCCAGTGAGCACTCAGGGCTGATTTCCTTCAGAATGGATAGGTTTGATCTTCTTGCAGTCCGTGGGACTCTCAAGAGTCTCCTCACCACCATAATTCAAAAGCATCAATTCTTCAGCATATAGGCTGAACTAATGTAATTGGCCAACAGCACGATGGAGCAGCTCTCCAATCATCCTGCCTTCTTCACTGCAGTTTTACCCAAGTTCCCATGCCGCAAACTAGATTGGTTAAATAAGGCAAATAAACTAACATTTACTGCTAGCTACTACCAAAGCAGTGCTTCCAACTCATGCTGCTATACATATGCAGTGTCCTGGAAACATTGGCACAATTTAAAAAATTTTGTTGGCCTTTATTCTATACATTTGAGGTTTACACAGTGAAGGATTCATCAAAGCAATTTTTAAACATTTCTCATGTGTAATGAGGAGTTAATGTCAAACATACCTGTTTTATTTTCCTTGCTATAACCCATTCATAGTTTTGAAGATTTTTTCCCCCAGAAAGAAAAAACACAGTATTGTAAAATGAGAAAAAAATATACTTACGGTTAAATGGTGAGACATATTTATCCCCAATAGAAATATATTCCATTTCACTAAAGAGGCCAATCCTCTCCATGTCTGATTTTCCTGTTTCTGAAGGCATGTTTACTTTTGTGTGATAACCCCGCTACTCTAAAATATGTGCAAATTCCTTCCTTTCCTAGAGAAAAAGAGATGGATTCATACATGTCAGTTTTCAATACATTTCCAAAACAATCACTGTCAATTTACTGCTGAAAATACTGGTTTAAACAGATAGCAGAACTCAGTAGCAAATTTCAAATTAAGGTACAAACAGAATTTTTAGTTTCTCTTTGGCACAGCGGATGAAGCAGCAGTAAATTCATTTGAATCTATTTTATCAGACTCTCTGATCCAACTGATGTATTACTCTCCCTCACACTTATACACCTAGAATTAGACCACCAATCTGGTATGTACATAGCTGATCCTACTTTTTGTCTCAATAAGTAATTCAGGAAACATAACAGGCTAGGATTGGGCATATTGAAGTACAGAAATGGCTCAAACCTCACCTCAAACACAAATTCACTGCATAGCCTTAGGCAAGCCCCTCATTCCTTCATCTGAAATATAGATGGAGTGTTGTAAGACTTGAGATAATGAACGTGAAGCAAAAGTGCTAATATAAATAATATTACAATGAGGGGGGAAACAGCACTCTGCTGATACTACGTGTCATTTGGAATATGCACTCATTCCCAGACGGAAAATCCTGACAAGGGGGAGACCAACCTGGACCATCCCTTTGGCCACTGAAGGTGCAGCTGTTCCAATGCTTGCTTTCCTCTCCCTCCCTCCATTCATTGTTGTTTTTTAATCCATCTTATATATTAATATGTGCAAAGATTAGTATGTTTATGTGATTTATGAGCATTAATATATTACTGGATTTCAAAAATCCATTTATTATCTGTTTCATTATGCTGACACAGTTTAAGCAGATAAAAATAGTTGATTTTTATGTTATGGATATAAAAGTCTTCCAAATACTGATCAGCAACAAACTACTAGGGATGTGCATCATATTCAGAAACCTGGCAGGATCTGTATGAGGCAACACAAATCAAAACAGGGACCACTGAAGCACTTTGTGGTAAAGGAGGTGAGGACAGGTGACCCCACCTAGGCCCGAAGTCACCCCCCCCCTCAATAATCACCCCAGGCCTCAAAACTGTCCAAAATTCCTTTTCTGTCTTCTAAAAATCCACAGCTAAAGTTTTCCTCTGTTTTCTCACAAGATGCTGTGCATAGGCAAAATGTTACTTTTATCAGCACGAGAAGGCTTCAAAAAGCTAATGAATAGGCTCTGTTCAAAGCAAGCCTGAGAACTGACTTTTATCTCATTCAGTTGCAACATCTTGGACATGCTGAACCGCAAGGCTCCTCAACCCCTTGGCTTCTCACCCCCTTTCCTGGGAAGAGTCCAAAAGAGTCCCAAGACAGGAGCTTTCTGTTCATGCTCAGGGGAACTCGAGGGAGGACTCTTGAGGAGGAGGAGAAAGGGGAGGGAACTAGAAGGGGAATATATGCTCTGTGCAAATGGCTGTGAACTCGTGCTTGTTTGTGGGTTATCACACTTGCTCCTTCTACCAGTTCATGGATGGTAGAAATAAAGCTTTTCCTCTGAAACTATTCCTTGAGTGTCTGTTTTGACTCCCATCTCCCTTTCCCGGATGCAATACTTTTTCCCACCCGAGGGCAAAGCCTCATAAGGCTACAGTGGCACCTCAGCAATCCAGACTTTTAAATATCGATGCAGACAAGCATCTGCTAAAACCAGTGCAGTCTTGAGACACCAATTCAAAAGTTCAACAGCCTCTTTGCAATAAGCAGATGGAAAAGTATGGGAGAGCTAAGTGTCATCTGCATATTGATGACACTTCTACCCAAACTTCCCAGCAGGTTTATATAGATAATTAATAAAGCATAGGAGAACGGAATCCTTAGGCAACCTCCAGGCTTGGGAAAACTTAAGCTTGCAAAGAATTGCACCACCTGCTGAGAAAGAACTTTTGCCACAATCCTAAATGCCTATGGATATAATACTAGTTGTACCTTATTAGGCATAAAGCAATAAAAGCACCATGTAAAAAAAGAAGCACAAATTCAATTGTGAGCCCTTGGAAGAATAGCAAGGGCAAAATGGCAAAATGACTGCAGTCCACCTGGTGCCCCGGGAAAGGCTTAAGCGCGCACGTGTAATGCTGTATCCATACACATGACACGCATTTATCGTTGCACGTTAAAGTTTCTCTTCACAAGGCACACACACACTTTTAGGGAGGAAACTGCATTACAATTAGGCTAGTTATTCCTTCAGTTTGCACCATTTATGCCTCACAGCTGTCGGAAACAGGGCTTGGAGCCCAGGTTCGGTGCAGGAAATAGGAAGCCCTTGAATGATTGTTGTTTATTAAATTTGTATACCGCCCCTCATCCGAAAATACCAGGTTGGTTCGCAACAGAAAAAATACAAATTTAAAGATACGAAATACATTTAAAAAAACTGTCGTCACCCACCTTTTCTCTCTCTCTCCCTCCCTTTCCCCCCACCAAGATGGGCTACTCTGGCTCAGCAGCAGAAACTTCCTCGGCCTCCCTCTTCCACCCGCAATGAGCGCCAATTTCTCCTTTGCGCAGAAGCGTCTCTTTGTTGATGCGCGGTTGCCATGGATTCGGGTAAGCACCATCATTAAATATTTCACTTCCTCCTCCCCCCCCCCCGCCCGCAGCTCTCGTATGGCACAACCCGAAAGGATCGCGGCGGCTGCGCGGTGAGAAGGGCATGACGGGAAATGTAGTTCAAGAGCCCGGATGCCGGCGTACGCAAGCCCGTCGGTGGCTTTAAAAAAAAACAAAACGCAGAGGGGTGTCTTTGCTTTGCCCTGGAGAGGCAGCGCGAGGGTGACGTGTCAGCTCGTTAGGGGCGTGTGCAGAGGAGTAGCTCTAACCTTGCCTCAGGTTGAGGGGGAGGAGCCATGCAGCCGCCCCTGAGCGTGCCGTTGACGGACGTGGTAAGTGACGCGGGTAACCGCCACTCTCTCCCCGCGCGAGGAAGGGGTCGCTGTGAGGGGAGAAGGAAGAGGAAGAGAGGGGGCTGGGGGACGGCCGCGATGCTGCCATGGGGCTCCTCTGCCAACAAAACAGTGCCTCCCTGGGGCATAAATTTAACTCTGCCATGCAGCCGGTGGGCACTGGACTTGGCGTGGCCAATGAGAGGAAAGACCGGGTTCCCCCTAGTTTATTAACCCCTCCATCTTCCCCACCACCAAGAATATGGAGTAAGGTGGAGGAATATAATAAGTGAACCAAGACCTGGAAGACAAAAGTTCAAATGCCTGCAGGACCATAAAGTTCACATTGGGCCAGGCATCGTCTTCCAACCTAACCTACCTCACAGGGTCATTGTGAAGATGAAATGAGGAACCATGACTGCCATTTTTCTTTTTTCCTCCTTTGAGGATTCGTGGGGTGGGATATAAACGTGATGGTGAAGAAAAGATCCAGCCTGTCCACGCCCAATTCTGAGTTGGGGTAATGCAAAAAGAACACCAGCCCTAAAATGATAATACAGTAATAACAATAAAAAAAGAATCTGGGAGACAACCAGGTTATACTAGCCTATGCACATGAGACGTTACAGGCAGACAAATCCAATGTGTGGATGACTGGGTGGGTTGTGTAAGGCATGTTCCTGTACTAAATACCTGCTCCAGAGTCTGATTTACAAATTTTAAATTGGTCTAAGTACTAGTACGCGGGTGGCGCTGTGGTCTAAACCACAGAGCCTAGGGCTTGCCGATTGGAAGGGCGGTGATTCGAATCCCCGCAATGGGGTGAGCTCCTGTTGCTCGGTCCCTGCTCCTGCCAACCTAGCAGTTCGAAAGCACATCAAAAGGCAAGTAGATAAATAGGTACCGCTCCGGCGGGAAGGAAAACGGTGTTTCTGGTTTCGCCAGAAGCGGCTTAGTCATACTGGCCACATGACTCAGAAAACCTGTCTGCGGACAAACGTCTGCTCCCTCGGCTAGTAAAGCGAGATGAGCGCCATAACCCCAGAGTCATTCATGATTGGACTTAACTGTCAGGGGTCCTTTACTTTTTACTAGGGTTGCAATAAACAGCATGTAATACATATAAGATGCAACCTTAAATAATGATCAAATTAAGCAGTTATGGATTACATGTTAATAGGAGCCAACAGAAGAGACCTGTCGTGGCTATGGCCAGCATTTGTTGCACACTTCCCGCACATAGATGCTAAATGAGCTTCCCTTAGCAGATGGGGAACTGGAGGATTTGGACATTAATATGTAAACATGGTGCCTAGCACAATTTTCCATGCACACATTTGCACCTTAAGATTAACAAAATGTCAACTGGCTTTTTGTGATTGCTGTCATGGCCTTATCATGAGACTGGATCTGAGCATTCCTGAGCACTCAAATCTCAGTTTCAGTTCAGTCCTGCATCATATTTCAGTTCCATTGTGAAGTAGAGGTGTACTGTATTAGTTTCATCTTATAAATGAGATTCAGCACGTTAACAACATACAGTTTTGATGCATGGAGAGTAGAATTGAGTGTTAGGCATGGGCCACACTCCAATCACAACTTGTGAAAATTTACAACCAAAGCAGCAGCACTTCATACTAACTCAACTTTTTCTTACCCTCCAAATAGGTCATCTTAGAGACTATGGACATACTTTTTAGAATAAGAGGTGGCCTTGATCTGGCATTTCAACTTGCCACTACTGATGGTGAGTCTTCATATCAAACACTGTGTTACAATATTATTACTGAAACTAATGTAAGGAAAATATTTCATTTTAACCAGATTGGCATGGGAATAAGTTTTTGGTGGATCTAGGCAGGAATAATTTTTAAGGATTCAGGTCCTTTAAAAATATTTTTTGAAGGATCCAGATACAGTTGCAATGCTTTGTTAGCACAACAGCAGCAGTGGGTCCTTTTGCACTATAACTTTCTCTGGTTTTGCATCAGCATATAAACAATACAAAGCAGCAGAAAGTGAATGAGCCAATGTTGGTTTTATGGGCAGCATCCAAAGTTGTTTCTGTAAGACATAAACCAGAAAATCAGCACAAGCACTGTGCCTCTAATTTGTTAAGTGGTTTGCTTGAAAAAATAGTTGAAGCTGAGTGAATCCATCCTCCTTCCCAAGTAAAGGATACCACAGAAAAGAAGGCAGAGCTTTGCATGCCAGAGGTTCCACATTCAGTCCCTGGACTATTTCCCTTTAAAAAGGTGAGATAGCAGATGATGGGAAAAACTTCTACCTGAGATACTGGAGAGTCATTACCAGTCAGACAATAATGAGGTAGATGGGCAAGTAGGTCTGAGGCAGTTTTATGCTTTCACTTTAGCAAATAGTTTTGACAACTAAAGAAATTACTATTTCTTTTTGTTCCATCATCCTTCAGAATATTTAAAATGTGCAACTATCTCCCCAATTCCTTTCATCTTCTTTCTTTTCTCTGTGTGTTTTAGATTCGTCAACAAAAGAGGGACTGAAGTATGTTTTCAGTGATCTTTCAGCCAAACTGGCTTCAGATGTGCTGGTATTCAGAATCTGTCACAGCTCGGTGTATCTGTGGCCAAATAGTGGTAAAAATTCAGTTGCAACAGAGCTTACAGATGATTCTGCATGTAAGGAGATACTACGATTTATTCAGTGAGTATAGCTCAACAAAAATAAGAATGATTTTTGAGGGTTCTGATAGTATACGTATTTCTCAGTATGAGTTGATTTTATTACTGTTTTTCAGATTTGAGCAGGAAGATGATAACAAACGCAGGTTTTCAAAAAAGAAAGATAAAAAGTTACAAGAACTGGTATGTTTACCTTTCCTTGCTATGGCTTTGTAGAACTGAGTGAGTGAAACCATTGTGACATTTTTATAGCCAAATCATGCATTTGGTGTAAATGCAGACGTTTACACATTCAGATAAAATTTTAAAATCTCATCTGCGATTGTTGACTTGCAGATCCTAACATGTTCCCAGCAGATCTGCCTGCAACATAGGCATAGCAGTCCTGCTGTTTTGCTATAATACTGCACTAGTGGATTGATCAGTCAACTCAACCCCCTACCCCACCTCCTTGCGAGTCTGTGGGCCAAATTGGAGGAGATGTTAGATATCTTTGTCTCTTAATTTCTTTTAAATGCAGGTACAGGGCACCTAATTTGGATTGGAACTCTGATGCTTGGAGGAAAAAGGTGTTTAACCCTTTTAACATGGTCAATTTTAAGAATGAGATTTCCCTCCACAAAAAATATTTTGTGCTTTGTTAAGGAAAACAAGGGCAGTAAACTGCACAGCTTGCACATTTAAATTTTTATTATTTACAGCAACCTATAGTAAATATAGATCTTATGCTGGAAATGACAACTTCGTTAGATCCTCTTTCTCCAATCATTGAAAAGGAGAGCAGGGGGCATCACTACATAAGCATGACCTTGCCAGTTGATGCTGTTGTCTCCGTGTCTCCAGAAGAAGTGTGGCGGAAGTAAGTAGATTATGTATAAAGGATGTGCTTGAGTTTTTCTATTGTATGATCTTTGCATATTTATCATGTGAAGATGGATATATCTCTGCTGAATTTTATAACATCCTTAAATCTACAGTTGTAATAATTAGGGCGAAAAGAAGTGTGCTGAATTGTTGTCTTGTTACTCAGAAAAGTAGATGCCCAAGAAGCAGATTGTTCAGAAAGACTGAAATACCTAAAGGTGTGCATAACATAACCCAATGTTATAACTAGAGGTTATGCACTTGGAAATTAATTAAAATCTTCTGGCAGGGAATAGTTATCTTCATTGGGCTTGAGAGAAGTAGTATTTCAGCTACACCATGATGCAAGAAGAAAAAGGCACAGTGTTGGTAAGTTTTGGGTAGTGCTAGTTTATATTTATGCATACAAAATGTTATAAACCCTTTAAAAAGTTTCTTCAAGCCTAAGCAAGGAAGAGATAGTATGTAGTACAATGTAATCCTGCCACGTATTGCAGTGGAGCATGCATCCTCTGTTTTCAATATATAGACTGCCATTTATATAAATATTAAACTGACTAGGTGCCAATAGGCAGGCTCATTTTACTCTTATATATGTGCCAGTATGTCGTTATTGAATTTAAACAAGTACTCCTCAATCTGTATTAGTTTCTTTCAGTTGATTCCTGAACTGCCATATCAAAAGCTGCTGATAAATCTAAAAAGGCTACAAAAAGCTGTTTAGATGTATCCTAAGTTTTTTATTAGACTATGTAATCTAAAACATTGACCAATGTGCAAAATCCCCTATCAATTCTGTCATCTTGAGCACATGCTCCATGCCTTCTTTCACATATGCACACTCACTGGTCAATTGTCATTAACCCCAGTATAGATACAACTGTATAAAGTGAAGCAAAGCAGCTTATTATGGGACTTTTCCCTCCATCTCTTGAAAAATACACATAGTTTGAGAGTAAGAAAGTTATTCTGATTTTCTGGTGTTCTTAAATAGTTCCATCAATATCTTGCAGTGTACGAAGTCTCCTGGTGAATGCGATTCATACACAGCTAACTGATATGGAAAAGTGCATTTTGAAATATATGAGAGGAACAACTGTTGTGGTACCTGAACAATTTCATTTCATGCTACCAGGAAAAAAACACCTTGTAACAATCTCATATCCTACAGGCGTTTCTGATCAGCAATTGGAGACTTACAGACAGGTACCTTATGTTGAAAGATTGTTTGGATGGTGATGACTAAAACATGGCATAGTTAATAGTTTTACTTTATATAATTATTATTCAATTCAATTCAAACCTTTATTGCATTAGCAAACAGCCATAGCAAAATAAGACAATACAAAAAAAAAAAGACAAACTAGAGACAAGCAACCAAGCAAAATTCAGGCGATTTTGCTGGCGTAGTGACATTTAAGTTACCCGAAGACAATAATGCAAAGATATAGTAGCCAGCGCCCAAAATATATATAAAGCACAAAATGGCCCCAGAACAGACTCGGCATATTGAGTTAAAAGTAATAAAAGAATTAAAACAGGTCCAGGTCTAGGGCACGCTACCCTGTCAGAGTAGCCCTGAGTTTCAGAGCCTGCACTATGAAGATTGCCACCCCACGTGAAATTTGGGGATTTGCGTCCACAAGAAGCGATTTCAAACAGTCTTCCTTAGATGTAATGGTGGACGGGATCAAAAGGAGGAGCTTAGATCTTATTGGCTCATAAATAGGGCAGTAGAAAAAGAAATGTATGAAGTCCTCTACTTCATTCATTGTGCATGGACATAGACGCTGGGTAATAGGGGTCTTAGAGTAAATCCCCTGCAGGAAGGCCGTGGGTATAGAATGGAAGCGGGCCATAGTAAACGCTCCTCTCAAATTGGGCTCCGTCAGGTCTATCAAGTAGTTGGCAAGTGATCTTACCACTTTCACTTTAGGGAGCCACATGGAGAGGCGAGCTGAGGTGGACTGTGCCCGGTCCATGGCCTCGTCTCTTGTAAGAATCCAGGCCCGGATTTTATGTTTGTCCCAAGAGGACAGCGAGTCAAGATCTGGGAGAGAGTAGCGTGCAGTAATAGTCACCATGGCCTTGGACCATTTATTGCTTTGAGAACACGTTAAAAAGGCTTGCCTGGCTAGTAGGGAACCTGGGGCATTGATTAATTTACAATAAAAGCTAATAATTCTAATGTGGGCTCTCGCAACAATGGAGGGGAGGCCCAGTTCTGTTCTTAACTGTGCTGCAACCGAGCCCTTGGGGAGACCCAGTACCTTCTGTGCAAAAGAGTTTTGTAGAATCTCCAGCCGTTGTAGTGTTTTTAAATTCCACCCCCAGATTTCAACCCCATACAGTAACATCGGGAGGACTTTGCTGATAAATGCTTTTCTGATTGGTGGAACCAGCTGGCCGCCTTTTGCATAGTAGAATTTCTCCAAGGCTTTGATGGTTCTGCGGGCAGCCAGGATGGTTGTATTTAGGTGAGCTGACCAGCTAAGCCCATGCTGAAAAATGATACCCAAATACTTGAATGCTGAACAATATTCAATAGAATGGCCCTCAAAATTCCAGAGTGACTTACGAGTTTTCGTGCCAAAAGTAAGAATTTTGGTTTTGGCGAAATTAATTTTAAGGGAGTTGGTATCACAATATGTCATGAGCCCTCTGAGCGTGTTGTTTAAGCCCAGCTTGGTTAATGACAGTATCACCATGTCGTCCGCATAGAGTAATATGGGGATCTTGAGCTGTTGTAAGGAGGGGGCAGATTGATTTAGGGCCTTCATAGTTGTAACGATGTCATTGATATAGAAATTGAATAGAAAAGGGGCCAAGAGGCAACCCTGTTTGACCCCTTTATTCAGAGGGAAAGAATCAGAAAGAGCTCCCAGAGGGCCGAATTTTACTCTGGCCGATATGTCATTATGAATTTCCATAAGAAGGAGTAGGAGTCTCTTATCTATGTTGGTGTAACTAAGCTTCTGCCATAGCCTATCTCTGGGAATGGAGTCAAAGGCGGAGGTCAGGTCCACAAAAGCCGCGTGTAGTTTGCAGTTGAACCTGTTTAGGTATTTATCAATCAGGGTAAATAGAACAAGACATTGGCCAGATGTGCTGTGACCTTTACGGAAGCCAGCCTGTTCCGGATGGAATAGCTTTGTTTCTTCTGCCCACTCGATTAATTTCTCTAGCAAGAATCTAGAGTAAACCTTGTATGATATGTCCAACAGGCTGATAGGTCGGTAGTTACGCGGATCTTGTGGGTCCCCCTTTTTATGTATTGGGATGACTATGCTCTGTTTCCAGTTAGGTGGAATCTTAAGAGTAGCATTAATGGTGGTAAAGAGAGATGCTAAGATAGGGGCCCACCACGACTGGTGCGATAAAAATACCTCAGGTGGTATCATATCCTCCCCCGGGGATTTATCCCCTGATAGCATGCTAATTAGTTGAGTACAGTGGTGCCTCGCAAGACGAAATTAATTTGTTCCGCAAGTCTCTTCGTCTTGCGGTTTTTTCGTCTTGCGATGCACGGTTTCCCATAGGAATGCATTGAAAATCAATTAATGCGTTCCTAGGGAAACTGCCTTCAGACCAGGTCCGGGGACAGACTGTCCCCGGACCTCTTCTGAAGGCTGGGGGGGGGGACAAGGGCTTTTCTTCCCACCCCCAGCATTTTAAAAAACCCTGGGACAGCGGAGGACTTCTCCGCTGTCCGGGCGATCTTAAAATGCTGGCGGGCGGCATTTTAAAATCGCCCCGGGACAGCGGAGGACTTCTCCGCTGTCCGGGGCGATTTAAAAGCCCCTGGGAAGGCAGGCAGGGGGGACAAAGCAGGTGTTCCCGCCCCCCGCCCGGCTTCGCAGCAGCGCTACGAAGCCCGGCGGCGGGGGCAGGTGTTCCCGCCCCCCCCACCCCGCTTCGGAGCAGCGTTCCAAAGCGGGGTGGCTGGGGCAGGTGTTCCCGCCCCCCGCCCGGCTTCGCAGCAGCGCTAAAAAGCCCGGCGGCTGGGGCAGGTGTTCCCGCCCCCCCACCCCGCTTCGGAGCAGCGTTCCGAAGCGGGGTGGCTGGGGCAGGTGTTCCCGCCCCCCGCCCAGCTTCGCAGCAGCGCTACGAAGCCCGGCGGCTGGGGCAGGTGTTCCCGCCCCCCCCACCCCGCTTCGGAGCACCGGGAGAAGCGATCTCCCCGCAGCCCCTTGCTTCAAAAGAGGTCCGGGGGCAGACCTCTTTTGAAGCAAGGGGCGGTGGGGAGAAGCGATCTCCCCGCCGCCCCTTGCTTCAAAAGAGAAGACCCGCTGTCCCCGGGGCAAGCTTCGTTTTGCGAAGCAAGCCCATAGGGAAATTCGTCTTGCGAGGCAACTCGAAAACGAAAAAACCTTTCGTTTTGCGAGTTTTTCGTCTCGCGAGGCGTTCGTCTTGCGGGGTACCACTGTACATCTCTCTGGGGAGACTGGCTCCCAGGTGGGCAAGGCAGATGCTGGAAGAGTGGTGACTACATTTACGTCGGAATCTGGGGCGGAATACAGCTGAGCAAAGTGAGAGTGCCAGCTGGCTGCTGTGATGTTATTAACAATGAATGAGGGGGGTCTTAAACCTGCATTAATTAAATTCCAAAATTTCTTGTCGTCACGGGTTTTAATGGCCACTGACAGAGCCGTCCAGCGTTCTTTCACAAAGAGCAATTTCTTATGTTGGAGCAGCTTCTTGTAGTATGAGCGAAATTGGGCTAACTCCCTGATTTTGCTCTGAGTGCTGTCTGATTTCATGTCAGACTGAAGAAATCTAAGCCTACTTCTGCACTGTTTACATTCTTGGTCGAACCAAGTTTGATTCTTCCAGGTTAGAATCGCACGGGAAGGTTTCGTAAGTGAAGGCAGCAAGTAGGCTAGAATTTGCTGGAAAATTGAGAAATGATTCACATTCATTGTTAACAGCTGAGCTTTCAGGGCTAGGATCTCAGGGGAATTTAGGAGGACTTTTATGTCTTGCTCCAGGTAGATGTCCCACTTCTTACGTCCGGGGGCCAAGGTCAGTGAATCCTGGAGGTGTGGTGAGCTGGGAGGCCCCAGCTGTGTGTGGTGGAAGGAGATGGCAATTGGAAGGTGGTCACTTTCGGTTCTGTTGAACACATTGAAACAATATGCCTCATCATTAAATGCTGAAGAGGACCAGATGTAATCTATAACACTTGCCCCTCTAGATCCTAGAAAAGTATAGTATCCCCCGGACCAGTCTTTGGGTGTGCCGTGCAAGCTGTGCAGCAGTATGAACTTCAGCAGTATGATGCCAGCCCTATTAATGGTCTTGTCATGTGAATTCCACGTAGGAAACCACTCCTCTTCTATGAATAATTGCGACTTATCGGTGAATAAGCTTATATCTGCTCCGATTCTGGCATTGAAGTCTCCCATTATAAGGATCTCTGACTTTGGAAATTCAGCCCCAGATTTATCTAGAATAAATCTTAAATCCTCCCAAAGCTGATTTGAATGAGAAGAGGAGTAGGTAGATGGATTGTACAGGTTTACACATATGAATTCCCCAAGCGAGCTGTTAGTGATGTGCAAAGTTTGAATGTAATTACTCTCTAACCAAAAGATAGGAGAGATAATAAGTTGAAGCTCCTGCGAAACAAATGTTACCAGGCCTCCACTAGGGCGCCCATACAAATGTGTTTTAGTTGCAGGAATCACAAAGGCGTCATAGCCCGGTAGGGATGGGGGGGGTGAAGATTCTAAGCACCAGGTCTCTTGTATACCCATAATTTGGAATTTCGCTAAAAACTCTTTCATATCCCCGTCATCCTGTTTGGACGTCCATCCTGCCACATTCCAGGATAGCACATTAAAGCAATTTGAGGAGGGACTATGTGCTAGTCAATTGCTCTGGTTGCTGGTGGGAAGGACATTGCCAAGGGTCTGAGACAGCACCAGGCGAGGTACTACCGAAGGTATCGAAGGGGTGGTGAGTTGATTGATGTGACCAGCAGGGTCTTCAATAAAACCTGAGTTGTCTCTTTGCACAGTGGCTTCCTTAACGTTTATATATTGGCTTGAATAGGTTGCGGATAAATGAGGTTCTACCAAAAGAGGTTGACTGGCAAAGGACGAGGATATAGAGTCATTTGACTGGACCGCACTGATTGAAGACTCCAGGTCAGGCATAGAAGAATAGGACATTGACAGATTACCAGGATGAGGTGTGTTTGGCGTGTTGCTCTTTAAGGCGGAGGACGAGGTAGTTGATTGCAGATCTATTAGTAGAGGTGAAGGGGGTCTGCGTTGCGACGGTGTATGAGGAGCTTCCGCCAGGCAGACTGCCAAATCATCCGTTATTGGAGTCCCAGTATTTGGCAGGGGTTTCTGGGGTGTTAGCCCCTTCATAACTGCGTTCCTTTGATTTAATAGGTTGCTATGTCCAGGATTTGAGGAGATTTTCTCTTGAAGTACATGTGTAAGTTGCTGCTTGAGTGTATCAAGCCTGTTTATAACTTCCTGCTGTTCTACTAATGGCAACTCGCCATAGGATGAAATGAGGTCCCTCTCCTCTGAGGCATCCAGATGGCTGGGCCCGCTTTGGTCATGCTTCTTTGTTGCTGGAGTAGATAAACCAGGAAGCTTGGGCTGAGAGGGAGGGTGAGGTTCCCGGGTGGACAACTTGAGTTTCAAGACTGAGTCGCGCCTGTCTGGCGGGTGGCTACCTTTTTGTACGGTGCTGCGGAAGAGAGGTTTAATCCTGGTGTCATTAAAGACTCTTGTTGGGAAGATGCCCCAGGTGGCCAAAAACGCTTTACGCCTAACCAGTATGGAGGGAATTTTTGGAGACTGGAAGGAGAGCAATACTTTTTGGAGCCGATGGTGGTAGTTTAAAAGTTTCACTGTACTGAGGTCTATTAGCGGAGGCCAAATCTGAAGGAGTTGCCTCAGATGATCTTTGACATCTCTCGGATTATTCCACCTTGGGGACCTGGGGTCCCTACTGTGTATAGTTAGACATATTTTGTTTGGTTGTAAAATCAGAGATTGAAAGTCCAATTGAGTTTTTAGGAGGTGACCACCAGTACCACTTTCATGTCTAATAAGGGAGGTACACCTCTGTCCCTTTAAATCCCTCGGAGGCAGAGTGTGGTTGTGCTGGAGCTCTAGCAAATGGGCCTCAAGCTTTTGGTGGAGATTATCCACCTGCATGGAGATCCCATTTATGCTCTTAAAGATGCAGCGCAGGGTCCTGGTCATTAATTGGAAATGATCGAGTCCCATGCCATCGCCCAGGGCCAACTCGGGCTCCCCCTTCGAGGTGACTCTCACTTCTTTGTCATTATCGTTAGCATTATTCGTTGTCTTCGAGTTCACCCCCTCCACTTCTATATCGGCTGCGAGGTCAATTAAAGGATTAAAACGATTGTGAGTTTCAACCGTGTAGCTAACTTCCTCGTTATTTCTGTTACAGTTAAGAAAAAAAGTATCAATCTTGGACTGTTTGGGCCTCGGGGGAGGCATTGCCTCATCCAGGTCCCTTGGCCGCTTGCCATGGCCCATAGTGGAGATTAGAAGCAATATCCACAATAATTGGAAGTATCCTAATACACCTTAGAGAGTATTGTAGGAAGCAGGGGAGTGGAGAGCGAAGAAGAAAGAAAAGTAAAGTTCGTTGCTTACTTACAATTCTCAGTCATTTCGGTTCAATGTCTTAAAAGTCAGACTTAGCAAGAGTCAGATCTTACTTTAATCTTCACCCTGACAGAAGAAGCTTGGGTTTTAAGCACCTCTTCCTACCATTTAGCAGGTCATAAAGCTGTCCACAGTAAATCTCGTCTTGGTTCATTAACTCCGTAGGATGTTGTTTCTCGGCGTTTTTCCTCCCCCTCTTCCTTTTTCTGGGACTTTTAACTTGAGCTTTTAACTCAAGCGTTGTGAGTATATTAGTTAAAGCAGCTGCCAAATGTTGTAGATAAAATACTGAGGCTGATAAGAGCTGAATAAAAAACTGATAAAACTAATAAAACTAATAAAAACCGCACAACTGCTGCGGAGCTCAAATCAGTGCTTCCACCGACGACGCCATCTTGTTCACTCCACCCAACAGGGGCTACCCAAACTCCCCTTCAGCTGCCCGGAGCCCCAGGTACAGCAGCAGGAGAAAGACCCCACCTGTCAGTCTCCCAGCATCAGGTCCTTTGATCTGGGTAGAAGCTCATAATTATTAATAAAAGTAATCTATAGTTCTCTTTTTTAAACTAAACTGGCCTTTAAAAAGTTATGTTAGGTTCTATGTACTGAAGTTCATTACTATCAAGTGGCCTATGTCTACTTCCATACAGATTATGATGTATACTGTTTTTCCGACTATGATATTTTTAAAATAGCACAAGAATGGGGGACTGTTGTCAGCTTGAAGGTCACATCCCCCCATAGGAAACCTTCCTTGGGCTGCATGCTGATGCTGGGTGTGTCCAAAGTGAATGGATCAAGTGGATATAACTCTGGTGCTTACCTTTGTAAAATAGACTACCTCACAGCCATGCAGAAATCAGTTTTCTTCATTCACTTTTGCTTCTCCAACCTCCATCCAGTTAAGCAAGAGGAATTATGCAGGAGACCTTCCAGCCAGGCAAAAGTCTTCAAGGAATGTATGGAGCACATCTGGTGGGGGTGTGGCCTGAGGAGAGTGGGTGTGTCTTTTCTATATACAAATTGCTCTGTATTTGCACAGGGATTCCTTATAGTGTGTGCTGGGCACTCAGTACAAACAAAGCCAGACATTGTGATATATGTGTGTGGCTACTGCCAAAAGCTGTAGTGCAGCATTGCTCCCTCCTCTGGTAACATGCACAGAAATGAAGGATGTAATGTGATGTCATCAAATTCCAAGCTTTCCCTTTTCCTGTGCTATTTCACGGGTTGCTTTTGTGGGGTGAGAGAAAGTTGGAGCGTGATGCTGCCACATGTTTTTTTCTTCTACATATTATCCAGGCAAAGAAAAAGAAGAAATGCTAGGTTACTGGATTCCGTGTCATCTGCACATCTCTCACACCATCTGGTTCTTCCTTCAGAGAATCTGGGTAGAGCTTGATGGCTTGAAATCTGCAAAGGCTTTTCTGTTTCCTATGGATACACACTCTCTCTCATTTTTACCTTGCTTTTAGGAATTACATAGACGGTTTAATCTACCATTTGACAGACCTTATTTCCGAAGGGCTAATGCCTATCATTTTCCAGATGAACCATTCAAAGATGGATATCTCAGGAACCCACATGTACATCTCAACCCACCTGGTATAGAGTCTGGGATGGTGAGTTTCATTTGTACTTGCTCTCATCTAATGGCCCAATAAGGAAACAGGTACATATGCTGACTGCATTGCAAGAGAACTGGGAGGCTCTTCTTGGGAATTTCAGTTAACATTTTGACATCGATGGTTCTTCCTAGTGCATGCATACTTAGCGGTATCCTAGTTCCAGTCCCCTAATTTGCAAACAAATTCACTGTCTTCTACTGGGAAATATACTGGCAGTATTGAAAGGAGAGGGGAGACAGCACAGAACACACGATGGGACTAGATGCTCTTAGACAGCTCTCCCCGGATTTCTTTCTCAATGGTTGTTCCACATGGTCATTAAACATTTTATGACACAATTATGAAGAATTACTACCTGATTCTGCTTGCTTTCCTGTTGCTCTCCATCCTTTTTTCCCTTTAGTAGCATATTCTTGTTGGTTTTTACGGCCCCCAGAAATCTTTAATAAAAATACTTTTAATAAAATTAGTAACAGCAGCAATAAAAATACCAATTTGAAATACAAAATTACTATCATAATAATATTCTGAACCTGACATGCACGACTACAATGTGCTTTTTCTTTTCTACCCAGGTGTATGTGGTATATGGCACATATAGTTATCATCATTACATGCAGGATCGTATTGATGATAATGGCTGGGGCTGTGCCTATCGGTCTCTTCAGACTATATGCTCATGGTTCAGGCATCAGGGATACATGGACCGATCAATACCAACACACAAGGAAATCCAACAGGTACTGAAGACTTCCAGGTTTGGGTTCCTTGAAAAATAACAGCTCCCAGTGGAATTGTATGTTTGGGATAGCCCACCTACACTTACCAGACTATATGCGGTTTGACATTTCTGAAGCTTGCATTTTGAATGATTGGGTGCTCCACTTTATGTTTGTGCCCCATCACTGCAGCAGTGAGCTGGCAAACCTGTGTCTGCATTCCACTTTAGATTGGAAATGGACACTCATGTGGTAAAAGGCTCCTGCATACACCATGTTGGGCAGAAGGACCCTAGTCTAACCTAAAATTACAGTTCTATACATTTTCTATTTTGATATTTATCATATACTGGCTAAAAGCAAACTTTAATATGGCAGGGACAGTTTTGGTGTCAGATGTAACATCTTAAGTCAAGCTTTTTCCACAGCACACCTTATGTTAATAAAATTGTGTTATCAATTGTAATGAATAATTTAATTTTGTAAAGATATTTTCCCCTCTTCACTCCGTCCCGTTTCTAATAAACCAGATTTAAAATAGTAGTAGACAGGTAAATATTATTATTATTAATAATAATAATATTATTATTAATAATAATAATAATAATTACAGTTATGGTACAAATGACTTGTTACTTTTGTGTTTTCATTTGTGGTGGTTCCAAAGGCTCTAGTTGATGTTGGAGACAAGCAACCAGGATTTGTTGGATCACGCCAATGGATTGGTTCTATCGAAGTGCAGCTTGTACTGAACCAACTCCTAGGGATAACTTCAAAAATACTCTTCGTCAGGTAAGAATGCTCACGGGGGAAACTGAGGAAGAGCTGCAGCTCAGTGGCAGAACACATGATTTGCATGCAAAATGTTCCAGCTTTAATCCCCAGCATCTCTAGATAAAGCTGGGAATTAACTGCTGCTTGAAACCCTGAAGAGATGCTACCAGTAAGTGTAAACAATACTGAACTAGATGGATCAATGGTCTGACTCAGTGTATGGTAGCTTCCTCTGTTCCTAATTTCTAACAAAACCAAGATGGCTCAAGAATCAGGTGAAGAAACAAGTGCCTCAGAGGATGAGCCACAATACCATAGCGCAAATCATAGAATACACCATTAAATGACAGATAAGGCACCAGATTCCATGTTAACAAAAAGAAGCACAGTCAGCACCTGAGTGGATAGCGATTGGATATTTTGTTATTTAGTGACCATTATGTTCATTATCAAGAGACTGTAAAAATGTTTTGATTCTGAATTATTTTGTTTATGGTGGTCAACTCTAAAATGGAATTAAAGACAGGACATTTTATTCAATAGTAATTTCATTCTAGACCAAACACAACATTTTTACCACTGATATAATACTATAACCTTTGTAAAATTGGTTTCCGTTTCTATGTAAAAAAATATCCTAATGTTATTTTCTGTCACTGTTAGAAGCAGCATACAGTTTGCTTTAGATTTTTATTATTGGGACTGACAGACATACGAGCAGTGATGTTTTTATAGCAGCTGTAGAGCACCTTGGAGATTTCCCTTTAATGTGTAGTCAATGTGCTGTTTTAAGTGATTGCAAAGAGAAAAACCAAGCTGTATAAGTTCCTAATTTGTGTTATGAAGAGTGCAGCTTAATACACTGACCTGTATGCTGTATAGTTTCATGAAGAATATATAACTATTGGTAACTATTTGTCATAAGTGGCAATGCCAATATCATTCCTTCCAATATTTCTCTAATGAAAATAAGAAAGTCCAGTATACCGTTCATCTGTTGAAGTACTTAAAATGAGGTGGTTTTTTTCAACTGAGAATGCTACAACTTGGACATTACCAGTAGTTCTGACTACCGTGTTTTCAGGGGAATCCATTGCAACACACCTTAGATGGGTACTGCTGAAAGCAATGCTCAAAACACAGGTCAGGGGGAGGCAGAGGGGGCTCAGTCTTTTGTGACGTTACTGTTTTTATCAGGCTATGGTGTGCATGATTGTGAGGAATATAATGGATTGGAACTTGTGGCTTTCATGAACCCCCACCCCCAATTTAAGCACTAGCTGAAAACGATGACAACTTTTTCTTCTAGCCAAGGGTCTGAGCTGGCTTCTCAGGGAAGAGAACTTGCTAATCATTTCAAGACTGAGGGAACACCAGTGATGATTGGTAAGATTTTAAATACCACCCAATCCACATTATCCCAACTTTTCTTTTCTAAATATGCTACTGACCCTTTAAAAACAGTGTGTTGGCTTTGGAGATTCTGGTTACATTCTTGGGACTGTGCTACTTTAGCACACAGATAAGGGATTGCTTGTTAAATGTTTGAATGTTCTGCAACTATATTTCCTTGGAGAAAATAGCACATCCAGGAAAAGCTGCTTCTACCAACATTTTCCTTTTTATAAATGGACACCTTTCAGTCATGTGATCCTCTATTTGCATTTTGAGGTGATGCAGTCTTGGGAAGAGCTGTATCATTTGAGAATTTGGAACACACGGCTTAGAATGTAAAGCTATGTCTGTGGCAACTTTTTTTTCACTACTGACATGTTGAGTCTATTAGTGCAATGTTCCATTTCCAAAGAACATCTAAGCTATTCCTGAGATATGTTTTTGCTGGTCCTTACTGTCTAAGAAATCTATTATTCAGAATAATGACCTTAACTTAGAAACTGAAAAAGAATATTCTTTCCCCAATTGTTTTTAAAGTCTGCAGGATATACTTAATGATTTCCAATCTGGGAAGCTATAAATTGAGTAACTTATTTTAGTCTGCAGTCCTATCCTATGCACACTTTTCTGGGAGTGGACACAACTGGACATCCTTCTGAGTAAACTCACATAGGAATGCAGTGTTTAAAAGCAGAGCTTGTCATGAATCTTTAACAAAAACCTCTATCACCACATGATTGTGAATCATAGTCTTTCTTTTGTTTACCTTGCTTTTTAAATAGCTTTGAGGTGGCTTAACAGCAGTAAAGAAACATCTGGCCTGTGATTTATTTTTATTTTTTATCCCGTGTGCGGCTCCTTAATGAAAAAAGATCTTCTGGAGTCTTAAGCAAGATAAGAGCCCCTGTAGGTGACCTTCATCCACTAGTTGTTTCTGTCCCATCTTACTTTGGAAAGTAAGTCTAATTAAGTCCCACCTTAAGAAATAAGATGGGGCTTAATTAAACTTACTTTCCAAGAGACCTTGTAATTATCCATACAATTTGAATGTCTTCCTTGCCCTCTGTTTTCACAAATGGCACCTGTGGCAAAGATGTACTGCACCCAGGCATGTTTTCAGAGGATTTCCACATCAGCTGCCAAAGGTGTCTCCTGTAATTTTAGACATTCTATTCAGTTTCCAAGGTCCAAGTTTGTAGAAGAGGGAGTGGGAGCAAAATGATTCAGTTCTCTCAGCCCCAATTTGAACATCACAAGAGTGGTGCTCTTCACATGGTGGAACAACACAACTTCCATTCCCACTAATGGGATAACACAACTTATGAGCTGGATAGTGTACGCCAACATCCAGTAAGATAAAGGACCTACTTTTACAATTTTATGCTTTAGCCTATGTTTGCCCACTTGATGTGCTCTTAGCCTCCAGAGACAGAAAATGCAGTGTTCACTTATTCCTTTTTTCATCTCTTCAGCACATTGTTCTCAACTTGCTGTTGACACTAAAAAAAAACTGTGTTTTATGCAGATATTTCATACTGTTTGGGCAATTTTCTTTAGACTTCCTAACCTCTAGAAAAGACTTTTTTTTAAGGATCATACATGATGTTTTCTTATCAGTTGTTTTGAGTGGTTATATTGCTGAAAACAAAACAGTGCAATTCTAAATATACTTACTAAGGAGTAAGCCCCATTGAACACAGTTGGAATTCCTTCTCAGTTAACTCATTTTATTTTCAGTCCTGTGCATGTTTATCTATAATAGCTTATTTCCTGCACAGTTCCAATTTGGCTTCTTTCAGCCTTTGTCCAGATTTCTTCTACCATGCACTTCCACGAAAGGCTTTTAGAATTGACTTTTAGATGTTCAGAAATGAAAATTTCCTTCTTGACTTCAGAGGATCATTTAAAAGTATGATTAGCAAATGATAATTTTGTCTTTGAATGTACTGTCTTACCTCTCCATCTTCTTTCTCTCCTCTTCTCTATTCAGGTGGTGGAGTCTTGGCTCACACAATATTAGGAGTAGCATGGAATGAGATCACAGGGCACATAAGATTTCTGATCCTGGACCCACATTATACCGGAGCAGAGGATCTGCATATTATATTAGAAAAGGTGAGACTTTGCCTTCACATTCCAACTGCATATGTTAATACTGAAAGGGAACATTTTGTGACATGTTTTAAAAAGTCTGCGATTCACTTCTCTATCATTAACCATGACTTTTTGCTTCATCTTTACCTGACAAATGGTGATGTAACTGTATCTTGTTTGGAAACAAGCTATCTTCAAACCATTGCTTATGAAGCTGGTTTGTTGCAATAAGCCATGCTTAAGATTAATTACAATTTAGGCTTCAGACATAATTTTAAACATTAGTTAATCAAAAGTGGGTGCAAAAGTTTCCAATCTGGCCATGATGGGGAGAGAAGAGGAATTGCAAGCCAAGGTTTCCTGCTGCACATTCCCAACAGAGCTGAATAAACCAAGAGGTGTTTTGTTATCCTTGGTGTGTATGAATTAGTAGAACAAAACCTCTGACATTCATATCAATTTTACTAAAATGCCAGCTATTTTATTAGAAGCAACAGACTTAATAGTGTATTGTTTTTCTTCTGTACAGGGCTGGTGTGGATGGAAGGGTCCAGATTTCTGGAACAAAGATGCTTATTATAACCTGTGTCTTCCTCAACGACCAAAAACTATTTAAATGGCTATTTAGATGATCATGGTGAACTACCAGAAGTTCTGTAAATACATATAGGTACACAAACACACTTAAGCAGTGATTATTTATTTTTCCTTAACATAGTATTATGTTGCTCACCACCAGTTAAAATAAAAATGCTAATCCAATATATTAGAGTCCAAATAATGAAGGGGGGGTTCAAATAAAACCTGATTATCAAACATTGTTATTTCCTAATAGCTGGCTTTTCTGCATTTATAATCTGATCCTAACAGTGCAATCCTATACATACCTGTTCAGACACTGCTCAACAAAATCATGTACATTTTAATCCTCTGTTTGAACACTGGTTAAAGGTATTTGTAAAGTGGATCTTGGGACCTCAAAACAATGCTAATTTTTAATATACCATCTTTGTTCCTCTGCACTCCTTGAGTGTGTTTGTGTGTATATATGTGGAGCATTTGTTGTGGAAGGAACAAAATACCAATCACAAAATCAGTGCTAGATGTCACATAGTTACTTGGGGCATAGATGGTAGAGAGAGAGGGCACAATTTATACATATATATATTTTATTGTGTGAATACAGGAATTAATATTTTTTAAAATCTTCTTCAAGAAGCAACCCATTCTCCTTCTTAGAAGGCACTGTTCAAAATATTTGGTTTTGAGATGCAGACTTATTTCTTTGTAAAGTTCTTAGTGTTCACACGTCTTCTTGCAGTAATTGGCTTTCACGTGACATCGAAGACTTCATCTTTATTCTATTTAAATGCAAAGAGAAGATTTGTATTTCATATATAAATCGTGCATCTGAATTAAACATTTGCTAACCTATACATAGCACTCAGTTTCAGCTTGGCATATCTCAGTCTTAGAAATCAGTTTTGTGGGAGGTAGTTGCTTATTCCCACTCCCTTTGGCAGCTTAGATGCTCTCCCCCCACCCCTTGCATACAGATTGACCATGGCAGGGTTGTTACAGCTTTCTTTTTTGTTTAGAACATTTTGTGTCAGTTTTCCAGCTTATATAAGCAGTCAACATAATGACCTTAGAGAATTTTTAAATAAAAAAAACCCTTTAGAACTTGTAACAAAACAAAAAAAAACCCCAACACTTGAACACACAGAACAAATCATCCAATTAAAATGAGTGGAGATGACCAGGTATACAGTACCAGCATAAGAGCGCAATAATATGGCTGTGAACTGTAAACATTTTTAAAACTTGTTTGGGGCTGTGTTCTCAAAATGTCAAGAGAGGCTGCGGTAGCCTTTAAAAGATTGTTGAGAAGACCTAGGCAGATATGTGAAATACCTGTTACCTGTCCTGGAAGGAGCCCTTCTCCTTAATTCTAAGTGCATATTGCTGTGTGGTGAGGAAATGACACTCAGTATATAATGTTATATAAATGTGCAATCTGTATTCCTTTCATTGGAGGAGGTAATATTAAATGGGTGCTGTTTAAGGAGGATGGATAGGGCTCCTAGACTGGGACAGTAATACTAAACACTCTTACCAGGAATTTCCACTAAAATCGAGTGGGCTTGCTTCTGAGTAAGCCTGTTCAGGATTAGGTTGCATAACTAACAGTATCTGAAATATATTTTGTACTTGCACTACTGTGATTGAAGTGTCCTAGGGCAGGGGTGAGAAACCTTGGGCTCAGGGGTCAAATGTGGCTTTCCAGGCCTTCCTGTCTGGTCCTGGGGCTCTCTCCAGGCCACACATCACACCAGCTGTGCTTCATCTCCACCTCCCACTTGAGTGTTTTTGCATGGCTGAAACATGCCCTTGAACTCTGGTTTCTTGCTTGCCAGGTTAGAGGGGTGTGGGTGTGTAAGCTAGCCTACTATACAAATGAATATGTCCATTTTCACTGTGCCTGTTTGATACATCTTTTATCAGATAGAAGTTGTGTCAGATAAAACATTGTGCTTTGAAGAAGCTGCCTTGTATCTGTTGTCTAGTGAAAGCTAAATGCCATACCATTTGATCTCCTCCTCTTCTTGCTTATGGATCTCTTGCTTTCATATGCTCGTTTCTGTCTTGCCTCTGTGTCTTTAAGCAAGCTGTCATCATGCAGAGAGTAACTAAGCTGTGTTATTGCTTTCCTGTTTTGAATGTGTTTCATTTTCCTGAGGAACTGTGCACAGTCCAAAAATCCAAAAGCCCATGCAAGGTCTTCTGCTGTTTCACCATTCTTATTGCGCAAGCTAAGAAAAGAGAATTAAAACAAAATCAATACATTTGACTGAATGATGATTATTTTTATTGATAAAGTAAAGTGTTAAGTGAACTATTAAAGTGTTAAGTGAACTATTATGAATTTTAAAAACACTTTTAAGAGTGCAGTTCTCTAAATACCCAAAAGTGGGTCTCAGTGAGTTTAGTTGGGAATCCCTTGCATTGTTTTGGGGGAGTAAATTACATTGAATCCAATAGGACCTACTTCTGGCTAAATGTGTAAGATAGAGCTACATGGCTCTGATCTAACTAAAGGTCATGATTGTTATGTTGAAATCAACATGACAATTTAGGCATAGCTAATTTTAAGCCCCCTTGATTTCAGTAAAACCTAAGTATATCTAACTAAAGTATATCGAGACCTAAATTTCCATCCTTTACCAAACTTGCCTCAAAGGCCATTGTAAAAGTTGTGTGCAAGTGATTATTCATAAATTAAACTGCAATTCGAACTTGTACAGCATATTTTATTTAATCAAAATAACTCCACTGTAATAATTCCCCTCCCCTTGCATTGTTTCCCAAAACTAAAGAGATCAGTAATAACTATTTTTGTTGTTGTTGCTGACTTTAGGATTCATATTCAAATCTCCATTCACATTTCCTCAATATAAACACCATAGCTTTGTTTGGATACATTATGTGATTAGTAATTGAATTTGTACACTTACTCAATGTCAGCATGACTGGCAACCAGCAAAGTGAGACACTCCAAACTCCCAACTTTAGCTGCCTTGTGAATTGGAGCTTCCCCAATCCAGTCCTGAATAAACAGAGAGGTTTCCTTTTGTAAGCATAGCCATACATAATGGTTGTAATCAGTTACTATAAAAGTGGTGGGGATCTCTAGCGTAGTGCTATACTACTAAAAATTGCCACAATCTCCAATCCAAAAATCCTTATCTTTAAGGGCACAATTCACAAACCAAGACCAACTCCTGCAACAGAATTAGACGTACAGCCCACAGTTCTCTGGATTGGGCCCCACTGGGAAAATGTGTGCATTGTAACCAAACTTACTCTCCCCCAAATAGTGATTTTTTAACATTTTGCTATACAATGGCACCTAGTATATGCTAAACCGAAGTACTATCAAAACTATTCTAGCATATCTAGCTTTGCATCAACCTTGTTCGTAGTGTTAAGTGTTACACTAGAATGGACAGCTATTGTTTAAGAGGATGAGGTCTGTTGGAGCCAGACTGCCTTCCTGAAAAATAGAAAACATAACTTATACCTGTTGGTTCAGATTGGCTCCTGTCTGCTGTTGCCAAAGTAGGAAGAAAGCATGTCCTCCACAAGCAGCCAGATGAGCTGGGGACTGACAAAATCCATCAGCAGCTAAATTCACTTCAGTCCCAGCTTCCAGAAGGTGGCTCTGCCCATCAGCCTACAAGTCAGATAAATGTTTGAAACATTTATTGCTCCTAAATGTGATTTACCACCCTCAGTAGCAAAAAGCAAGGTTCCCAATAAATTATGATGAAAATGATGAAGCATTGTAGAAGTGTGACTTCTCTTTTTTTTTTTTAAATAATTTTTATTAGTTTTCCAAGCATATAATAAAAACAAACAATCAAACAAAACAAAACAAAACAAAACATACAAACATATAAACATGTATACTTTCATAATCTTATCTTCCTACACCTTGCTTCCCGGACTTCCCCATACCTCCCCTTTTCTACATCCTTGTTTTTACCTTTCTTCAGCAACCCTCCAACTGGTTAATTCACTTTCATTCTAATTTCCTTAACTTATTGTTTACAGCTGCAATTCTCTATTTCTTAACACCTTAACATCTCATTACACTTCAATTTTACAACAATTTTTAAGATAAATTTTGAATTTCTTCCAGTCTTCTTCCACTGTCTCTTTCCCCTGGTCACGGATTCTGCCGGTCATCTCTGCCAGTCCCATGTAGTCGATCACCTTCGCTTGCCATTCTTCCAGAGTGGGTAACTCTTGTGTCTTCCAATACTTTGCCAGAAGAATTCTTGCTGCTGCAGTAGCATACATAAAAAACGTCCTATCCTTCCTTGTCACCAATTGGCCAACCATGCCCAGGAGAAAAGCCTCAGGCTTTTTAGGAAAGGTCCATTTGAGAACCTTCTTAATTTCATTATAGATCATTTCCCAAAAGGCTTTAATCTTCGGGCAGGTCCACCAAAGGTGATAAAAGGTACCTTCAGTCTCATTACATTTCCAGCATTTGTTATTGGGCAAATGGTAAATTTTTGCAAGCTTGACTGGGGTCATGTACCACCTGTAGATCATTTTCATAATGTTTTCTCTTAAAGCATTACATGCCATGAACTTAACACCAGTATTCCATAACTGTTCCCAGTCAGCAAACATAATATCATGACCAATGTCTTGTGCCCATTTAATCATAGCTGATTTCACCGTTTCATCCTGTGTATTCCATTTCAACAGCAAATTATACATTCTTGACAAGTTCTTAGTATTGGATTCTAACAGTTCTGTTTCTAATTTTGACCTCTCCATCTGGAAACCTATTTTCCTGTCCTGTTTAAATACCTCGTTTATCTGAAGGTAATGCAACCAGTCTCTTACCTTAGACTTTAATTTCTCATAACTTCTCATTGATCTTAAAAGTCTGTGAGTTTAACTGGCAATGTTAACATCTAGAAATCTAAAAGCACATTAAAAACAAAGGCTTTCCAAGCATTACCTCTGTGTTGCAATCCAACAGTAACATTATTTCTTCTTGCCTTCCTCCAGTATACTTGCGGCAAAAGTTGTGGTTGGATTGGTTGACTTCCAGCACAGCTTTACTCTATCCAGTGAATCTAACCCAAGACTGGCAGTGCCAGCTAAAGAACAGTGAGACACTCTGGCTGCAATCCCGCCCTCTCTGCCGGGAGCTGTCTTTTGCACGTACACAAACAAGAGCACATGCAACTCGACCCGCCTTGCTGTGTCCTGATTGGCTCCTGCTGTTGCTTTCCCCATGCATCCTGTGTTTGCTATGCTTATGAGATGGGAGGGAGCAGGAAAGACTTATGGCAGGTGGGGCAGCCATGGAGCACAGTACAGCTAGACACGTATCACACACCCACACACTCAGCCACCCGCAGTCTGCTCCCCTCCCCTTGCAGCATCCTCCAGAGAAGGCAGGAAGCAAAACAATCCCTCTGTAATAAGTATTGACATTTCCTTCTGAAGTGGGTCTTGGATAAAATGCATTCGAGATACTTAAGCAAAGAAATAAGGCCAAAAACCAGAAAAGATAATGCTGCAAAGCATTAAAACAGTCAACTACCCACTAAAGGCACTAAAAATAATAATAAGCAACACCATAATCGCTTACCTGGATATAGGGAAGGAGGTAGCCAGCTGAGCCTCTCTTAGTGAGGTGCTTCAAAAGAGTGGATGCTATCACAAAGAAGGCTGGCTGGCTGGGTGTCACTGCTCACAAAAGCTTGGAATGAAGGGGCATCCATAGCAGCTCCTCTCCTATTTAAGGTATGAGAAAGCCTATGGGGGTGTGCTTCTTCAGATATCCTGGGCCCAGATCATTTCAGCCTTCATAGCTCAATGTTATAGACATGTTTCTTTAAAGAGCGTTCAGTGGGGCTTAGCATTTATTAGCAAGTGTGTTTAGGATTGCAGCATCAAAGGTTAAAGACTAATACTGAATTGGCCTCAGGACTCATGGTAATCAGTTTGAGAGCTGGGAGTTATACCTGCTAGAACCAATTGGCCAAGGATAACGCTATGCTGGGCATCCTAATGGGAATCTTAAGTTCTATGATCAGCCACAGGCTCTATATTTAAATGCCTCAAACTGCAGCCTGTTTCTATAATAGGTGAAGCAAGAAGTCTTACAATGTGATTGGTCATGAAAACACTTGAACCAAATAATTCCATATGCAGCAGATACTAAAGTGGTTCACTACTTCAGCACTGGTGTCTTAAATATTTGAGAAGATCTAGGTGGAAGTAATGAGCAAGAAAATAATTTGGATTGATATTTGTCCATGTTCCAGGAAAATAATGATTAAAAACTAATTGCTTCATATATGTTATCTCTAGTAATCCTTACAACAGCCCAGTGACATAGCTGAGTGCTGTTATTTTCATAATATAGGAGACAAAGAAATAGTGGCTTGCCTAAGGCTGCAAACTGGTTAATGGCTAAGAACCAAACTATAGATGTGGCTAAGATCAGTGAACAGGAACTCAGTCGGCTGAGAAGCTGGGGTTTTCTTCACCCCCATCATTTTCCTGGTTTTAAATTACTGCTTCCTCAAGTTGCTATTTGTGTCCCATGTGGGGGAAATGCATATGATAAGTTCATTCTGAATTAGTAAGGGGGGGGGGCTTCCTGACCCCCAGAGACAGTCAATGGTTGCCAAGCACAGGATCTTTCATCCACGCAAGCCAACTCATTAGTCTGGGATATAGAAACCAAAGAACTTCAGTTATTTCTCAGAAACCTCTAGATACTATTGACAGTTTACAGTTCACAGTAATCCATCTTACACACTGTAGTGACTTAAAGGCAATAGAAGGCTTAAAGAGTTTATTCAGATAAGGGAGTTAAGCAAAGAAATATCTAACAATTAGCAACTAAGATAGTAAACGGAGATTATTTTTACATCATAATCCCTCACATTTTATTATGGGTGTGTATGCCAATCTCCTGCAGGGACCACTGTAGTGTATTCAACACACTAAATTAAGAGAACAGATTCATGTAGACTGCCCACAGGACTTAGTTTTTTAAATTTATAAAAGCTTATCTGGCCTATGATAAAAACTAATTCTAAACCTAGCAAATACATTCACTATAGTTGTTTGTCTGCAGAAATATTTCCTGTCCCATGCACACATGCAGCATCTTAGTTTGATGGCTTCTTGAAGAAACAGAATCAAGAGCTAATTCAGTATGGTTTCAATCCTGATTTTTCGACAGAATCGTTAAGATGCTACATAATGAAGCAAGAAGAAAGCTTTGAATCTTGCTTCTCCTCTTGTCTGGGTCTTGTGTAAAGGGGAAGGTGTGTGCATCTCCCCCCTGCCAGTTTACAGAAGAGCTAGAAATGTAAGAGAGAACAATTTACACTTTGTCACTGCCACTGTGGTGACAAACTCTTTGTCACTGCCACTGTGGTGACAAAGTGTGAATTTAGAAGTGCTATATTTAATGAGATTGTCCGTGTAATGTTTAAAAGTATAAGACTGTGATGTGCCTTTGGCTACTGCTATTCTAAAGAGAATCTAATTTATTATTGCTAGCAGTAGTCATCCCCCCCCCCTTTATGGGCATAATTCATTCATCACAGAAACCAGCAGTGAGTCCTAAATATTTTAGCACATATCTGTAACTCAGGTTTCCCAGCACCTGACACTCTCTACCTTTTATGAGTAGGTAGTGCTTTCCTGTAAAACACTATAGTTGTGATTTTAAACTAGAAATCTTAACAGTCACAGACATGGGAGGATGCAGTTTGCATACCGCTGCATTTCCTCTCAAATTGACTGTCTTGCACGGAGTCACTGCAGTGTCCCGCCTAGACAGGAACGACAGAATTAAAACATCAAATTTGTGCACCTCCCTCCGGAGATGCAATTTGGGGTAAATTAGCACTAGCCACAAGCAGAGCAACATAACAGAATAAAATTACTTAGGTAATAACAAAACTCCCGCAGTCAAAGCCATGCAGTCAAATGCTTCAGGAGAGCTGATACTGTGAGCAAACCATAAGGCATATACAGTGGTACCTCTGGTTACTTACTTAATTCGTTCCGGAGGTCCATTCTTAACCTGAAACTGTTCTTAACCTGAAGCACCACTTTAGCTAATGGGGCCTCTCACTGCTGCTGCACCGCCGGAGCACAATTTCTGTTCTCATCCTGAAGCAAAGTTCTTAACCTGAGGTAATATTTCTCGGTTAGTGGAGTCTGTAACCTGAAGCGTATGTAACCTGAAGCGTATGTAACCCGAGGTACCACTGTATATCAATTGGAATTAGCTATTACAAACTAGATTATTCCAGTAGCTTCCTGCCTCACATGCTTGCATATGCTCAGAGGCACTCTTCTTTTTATCATCACTTTCCCAGAAGCCCCTCTTGATTTTGACTAGGTTGCAATGCTGTAATTATGTACTTATTTATTTATTTTGACGGACTGCCCTGTTTTGCTGCTGAGGAAAGCACGAAATGCTCCCTCGGTCGCAGGCAGCTTCTGGAGCGCGCGCGCACTGCCCTGTCATCCCTCCTCCTTACCGGCACTGAGGAGGAGGAGGAGGAGAAGCGGGGCGGGGCGGTCTGTGACCCGACCGCGCGCGCGCGCGCCCCTCGTTTGCCCCGCCCTCAGCAGAACGAACAAAGGATTCCCGCTCCCTCAGCGCCTCCTTCCCACTCTCCGCTCCCCGCCAAGCGCTTGCGCGCGCCCCGCAACACTCGAAGAGGCGGGGCACTGGGAGAGGGCGGGCCTTTCTGGGAGGCTCGAAGGCGGCGTTGCCAGGCAACGCGAAGCTGGCAGGAGGCGGGCGCTGAGAAGTGGGAGAGAGAGTGTGAGTGAGCGCGCGCGGGAGGGCGCAGTTCGCCATGGGAACCGGTGGTCAATTCAGTGAGTCTCTCTCGCGCGCGGGGGAACCGAATCGGGCGGGTTCATTTTCCCTTTCCATGCACTTCTCTCTCTCCCGCCCCCACGCACACAACAAAGCGCCTGGTTTTGCCCCCTCGCAAATGTTACATAGTACATAATTTTAAGTACTGGGTTTCGAACGCCACTTGAAGTCACACACGCATCAGACCCCGAGGCTAAATCGCAGGTGCACGGGTTAATTTTGGTGGCGCTGGTGCACTCTGCGCATGGTCAGAGGGCACACCGCAGTCTCGGCGACCACCCGAGCACCATCCCCTGGCACGGAAAGTGTTCTGAGCCCTAGAAGCTCCGGTTCGAATTAAGACATACCCGCCTTTCCCTGTTTCGCTCAGCTGTTGGGGGCAATTCCTCCGACGAGACGTGGGGAAGGAAAGGGACACCCTCGCCCTCCCACTTCCCAGATTTCCGAAGGAGGGGTGAGAGGCAGCCATGGTCATAGAATCGTCGTCATCATCATCACATCACTGACCACCATCATAATAAGCTGAGAGGGTCCATATAGTGATGAGGAAGTTCACTCAGGATCGGGGACCTTCTAAAACAGGGGATAAGTCACCAGTGCGCCTAGTTTTTTTTTCTTCTTCATGTCCTACATGTGTGAGAATCTCCCTTTTTAAACAAAACGTCCCTCCAGACATCGAGGTTAATTCCTTTTGGTCTGTGAACAAGGCATTTATTTCCACAGTAACAGGGGCAGGAAAGTGCTTTTGACTTTAGCAGGACTCTTTGCTAGGATCCTGGCAACAGACTGTTGGCACAGATTAGTATTGGAGTAAGTTTTAGGCATTTCTTGTTGGCCTTTGTCTGTCTCGAGAGACAATGGAGTGCGCCTCCAGGGGGTGAAGTCAAACGGTTGTGTTAGGACTGAAGTGACGCCCCCAGGCGCAAGTCTGGGCAGTGTGTATGGAGGTCCTGGGATGTGGGTGGCACTGTGGTCTAAACCACTGAGTGTCTTGGGTTGCCGATCAGAAGGTCAGCGGTTCGAATCCCCACGACGCGGTGAGCTCCCATTGCTCTGTCCCAGCTCCTGCCAACCTAGCAGTTCAAAAACACGCTAGATACATAGGTATCTGCGGTGGGAAGGTAAATGGTGTTTCCGTGCGCTGTTTTCCGCCGCGGTGATCTGTTGCGCCGGAAGCGGTTTAGTCGTGCTGGCCACATGACCCGGAAAGCTGTCTGCAGACAAACTCTGGCTCCCTCGGCCTGAAAGCAGTATGAGCACTGCAACCCCATGGTCGCCTCTGACTGGACTTAACCATTCAGAGGTCCTTTACCTTTACCTGGGATGTCAAGATGATAAGACCCCCGCCCCACTCTCGGCCTTGCTGGTGTGGTCCAAACAAAGGCTGTTAAATGCGTTTGTGGCACCAGGTTGGCTGCAGGAGTTGCCAGAAGGAGGTGTACAAGATGCTATCCAGCAGTCTTAGGGACTCCACACTGGAATTGTGTAGGGTTTACTCCTGAGCCTTTTCTTCTCCCAAAGATATACCAAAGGGCAGTGGAGGTTCAGGATTAGAGTTTTCCTTCTTCTAGATTCCCAGGTTGACAAGTCCCATCTACCCATCACTTCCCTCTCTACAGCATGTGCAGAAACCACCTTGTTGACCGTTGGGCCCAGTATTGGTCTTGTCCTCTCAATCTGTCAGAGCCTGTCTTCACATGCAGGGGAAGTCCCTAACTCAACAAGGGTTTGAGACCCAGTCGTAGCCATTGTGTGGCCACTGTTGCGTGCTGACAGCTTCTAGGAGCCCCCAATGAGAGTTGAGTGCAAGGAGTGTGCTGCCTTGAGCTTCTTGGGAAAAGCACAGGTTAAAAACATACCAAAAAAATGTCATTATGTTGCAGGGAAGACTTGCCAAGGGATTTGTTGCTACCATAATACAATGGGGAAAAGCAAAACTATGGAACCTCATAAGATTTTGCACCGGGCCCTGTCACACTGAGAATGTTTGTGCTGTTCTGGATTTAGAATGTGTTTTATAAAAACCAGATGACAGAATGAAGGGAAGTTGATGGCTCGGTTGAGCTAAAAATTTATAAAGGGGGATATGATGTTCTAATAATGTTAAAAATGGAAAAGCAATAAAAATATTATAAAAAGAGAGAATGTTTGTGCTGTTCTGCAGAGCCCAAGGCAGGGCAGAGCAAACTTTTTAAGAAAAGTATACAAGATGACACCCCCCCCCCAAGTTTGCTTTCTCTTATCCTATTTTGAGCCCTTGTTAGTAAAAGTTTTCAATTGCCTGGAAATGTGTATGTATGTAGCCAACAGCATATCTGCTTGTTTTCAAATGTTGGATTAGTGGTATGTGTAGACATCAGGCATCTCTCTTTTTTTTGCCTCCTGTTTCAAAACAAGCCTCTCAACTGTTTGGAGCCTGGCCAAGATCAGGCAAAGTGTAGAAGGTGCCCTTCATGACAAGAGGCCTTTGAAAGCTTCTGGCACACTGCGTTCCCATAAAGGTAAATGTGGGTAGTATTAAAAATCAGCATGAGATGTTCCTCTTAAGAAGAGAACCTTAAAAGATTAGATTGTAGCTTCTGAATCTCTTATTTTTGATAGCTGAATGAGGCGCAAGTAGTAATTATTCTGTGGTCCTCACAATCTCCCAAGCCTGGGCATTTACTTCTAATTTGTTCATTTATTCCAGAAAGAAAGAGTTTGAAAGAAAGAGTTTGAAAGAAAGAAATGCAGCTGACCAGTGAGCCTTTGCCTCAAGAAAGTAGAAGCGAGACCATTCTCCAAACCATCTCAAAGGTCCAGATTTCTGAATCAGGAGAGTTCAAACCTGACCCAGGTAATTATTATTCATTAAATTTGTATACTGCCCTTGATCTGTAGATCTCAGGGTGATTTACAGCATACAAGTACACTACAAAAACACTGAATACATAATAAGAACAAGAACAAAACAAACCAGTAACACACACCCCAACCTCCCACAAACACATTTAAAAGGACCTAGGATGTTCGGCAACCAAAGTCCTGGTTGAAGAGGAACGTTTTCACCTAGCACCTAAAGGTGTATAGTGAAGACCCTGGTGCCTAGGCTGTTCGATTTTTCATTCCATATCCCATGGATGGTATCATTAAAAAAAAAAAATCTGTTCACAGTAGTTGGCTGGGGCTGATGAGAGTTGGAGTCTCACAACATCTGGAGAACACAGATTCCCATCTCTGCTGTGAAGTAACACTCTGCGCACTGCAGCTTCTGAGCTGAATGGAAGCATATTTTTAGTAGAGAGGTGATGTTGCTGCTTCTTCATCCATTGTGGTGTATAAGCAATGTATATAGCCACACACATCCTTTTTTGTTGCAGCCTCTAGCCCACACCCAGGGTGAGGATGAATGAAGGGAAGAGATGGTGCTTGTGCATTTGTGTGAATGGATATGTTTGTGTGTGTGAGAGAGGGGCGGGGAGCATGGATGAGAGGGAGTGTCCCACACCCACCCACTTCTTGCTTTGGTCCCACCTATCGCCACCAGTATTGCAGCCCTTAGCTCTGAAAAGGTTGTCTTCCTCTGGCTCGTGGGATCTGCTACCACTTTCCTAAACACAGGGAAGAAAAGAACCTCAGGTTAACAGGAGCTTTGTCCCTTGATCTTAATTTTGCTTCAAGGTCAGATTTATTTTCCAGGAACATTTTGAAATCATTCAGGCACATTGACACAAAGAGGGCAATCTGTGCATTGTGTGCATAAGCCTGCTTTCAGGATTGGGCCCCTCAGGTGCCAAGGAGTGCTGTAAGGTAAAGGTAAAGGTACCCCTGCCCGTACGGGCTAGTCTTGACAGACTCTGGGGTTGTGCGCCCATCTCACTTAAGAGGCCAGGGGCCAGCGCTGTCCGGAGACACTTCCGGGTCACGTGGCCAGCGTGACAAAGCTGCATCTGGCGAGCCAGCATAGCACACGGAAACGCCGTTTACCTTCCCGCCAGTAAGCGGTCCCTATTTATCTACTTGCACCTGGGGGTGCTTTCGAACTGCTAGGTTGGCAGGCGCTGGGACCGAGCAACAGGAGTGCACCCCGCCGCGGGGATTCGAACCGCCGACCTGACGATCGGCAAGCCCTAGGCACTGAGGCTTTTACCCACAGCGCCACCCGCGTCCCATGGGAGTGTTGTAGATTTTTTTAAATAAAAAGAATACACACACAGTGAATGCTGGGTTTGTTCCGCAAGCATATTTCCTGGCAGATGGTGTGGTCAGCTTTGATATTCCTGTGGATATGGCTGTTGAAGGTAAGGGGGCTGAATTTTGGCTCTCCTCCCCAGTTTAATCAGGCACTGTAAAAATTGACTGTGCCATCTGTATAGCTGGTACTCGTAGGCAGAAACTGTTGTGTACAGTGATCTTTGGATTGGGGCCACTTACTTTGGCTGCAAGCCCCAAGTTGTATTTCGCAGGATGCATGCAGACAATATCAAAAGAAGCCCGGAGACTGTTTAATGCAGCTTGTAGTGTAGCAAAACAAGAACTACGTCATCTCATAGGTGATGATAATGCAATGAAGATTGTTTTAAAGTTTCAGGATCAAAAACTATTTTTGTTTTTTGCTTTTTAAACAGAGATTTACAGTCACGAGTATCTGCTTTCAAGGGCTGAATTGTTACTGGAAAAACGGATTAAAAATGGAGATCCTTTGGCCTCTTTTCTCAGAGGGCAGATGTATTTTGAAGAGGTGGGACTTTGCGCACACACCATATACATACATGAAGATTTGAAATTGTGTTGAACAAGTATCAGTGTTGAAATGTGGGATTAAGAATTCAGATGCCAATATGTTAGGAAAATTCACAACCATTTACCAAGTCAGATTGGTGTAATATGCTCAAACTGGCTCATTTTCTATCTGCTGTAAGGGGAGAAATTTTAAGGGGAAATTTAAGGGGAATCTTCCTGTCCTGCCAGGAAGATGCAGAATTTCAAGTTCTTTCATGCTTTTATATTGCTCAGGACTTATATTATTCTATTCAGGCTTTACATCTTTATTTTAATTTTACTTATTTCAATATGTGCTAAAATGGGGCCCAACAATTTAAGGGACAATCCAGTGATTTGCCAGAGAGATTCAGAATTTTATGTTGTTGTATATAGTTTTATTTGGGTATGGGTCAGTTTTATTTATGTAAACTTAAGTCATTTTTATGCAATCTGTAGTTTGCTAACATTCATGCTTTGTGTTGTCCAATGGCTAGTTACAAATGAAGAAATTGAAATCCATTTAGTACTCCAACCATTTGTCCAGTGATCCTTTGTGGCTCAGTGGGAACCCCGATATCAACTCAGGCTTGTCCAGTGACCTCAGTAAAGGAAACTGCTCTATGTACACAGCCCATCACAAAAGCACACACAAAGTTTTGGGTTCATGTGACTTGTTCTTTCCAGTGGTTTCTTCCCAAGAACCTCTCTTCTGTAGTGCTTGCATTTCTCTTTAGGGGAGCAAGCAGAGAACCTGGCCTGTTTAGCAGGAGAACAAAAACAGCTAGTTCTTATTCCAAGGTTCTCTGCTGAAAGTGACACGCATCTCTCATGGCTTGGATCCAGGCATTCCGCGTGTTTTATTAAATAGTTTGCATAATTTCCGTATTCCAGGATGTCTAGTGACAGTTTCCGGGTTGGATTTTATATTTTATTTACAATATTTTACGTTAAAATGGCACAATTGTATCCCAAAGGCTTCAGTAGCTAGATTTAATCCTGAGTATTTGATCTCTCGTCGTTTCTTGCACAGGGATGGTATGAAGAGGCACTGCAGCAGTTTGAACAAAACACAGATTTTCAGTCCATGTATCAACTAGGCGTAATGTACTATGATGGACTGGGGACCACACCAGATCCTGTAAGTTACAACCAGATTGGTCCCTCCCTTTGGTTATTCGTTAGGTAACAACTTTTCTTACTTAATAGCATGAATTTCAAAGATGCAGATTAATAAGCAAATGTCTGAAGCATAACATCATTGGGCAGAGCAAATCGGTGGAGCCAGAAAGCAGAGGATGCTTCTAGACTGTTAGCGTTTTCAGGTGGCAAATTCAGTCACTGATAAAGTCAGGTTGTGCAATCATAGTTTATTGGGGGGATCTTATCCCCCCCCAACACCCAATTCTGAGAGCGCTGTGCTTTTTTATTAAATTTCTATACCACCCTTCATCTGAGAATCAGAGAACAACTTACAATATAAAAAACTATGCATACCATAGTAACAAACAAAAGCAGTAACCCAGCCCCACACAATTTAAAAGGCCATAGATTGTTTCGCCAAAGGCCTGGGAACGAAGAGGAGGTCTATCCATGGAAAAGGTGGTCTAAAATATTCTATGGCCTCTGAGAGGCCCTACTGAGAATCATAGGAATGTGCCCTAAATATGGTAGGCAGAGCCCAATATTGTCACAGGGAGACTTTCCTGGTGCTTTTGTTATGATCTTTTGGGTGCTAAGTAAAAAAAAAAAATTATCTGTACAAGCCTTTTTTAAAAATCAGGCTCTCAAAGTCAGATCTGTAATTTGCTGTACATTTGTGCTGCTGTCTTGGTTTTATCTTTTCCCCCACTCTACTGGTAAAAATAATTTTATCCAGCAACTAATTGTTTTTGACCTTTTAAAATATCGCATTGTCTTCTTTTTGTGAGCAGCCTGGAGAACATGTATCAGGTGGCCTACATAGATGCTGGATGGTATGCAATGCTACTACAGTGGTACCTTGTTCTCGAATTTAATCCGTTCCGGGAGTCCGTTCAAAAATCAAGGTGCGGCTTCTCATTGGCTGTAGGAGCTTCCTGCAGTCAGGTGGAAGCTGTGTCGGACATTCGGCTTCCAAAAAACGTTCGCAAAATGGAACACTTACCGGTACTTCCGGGTTTCAGGCGTTCGGGAGCCAAAACGTATGAGTACCAAGGCGTTCGAGAACCAAGGTACCACTGTAGTCCTATCCTTGAGTGCTGCATTCATGCTAGAGCTAGAATGTATGCATATGTGAATTCTGATACAGTGGTAAAGGTAAAGGTACCCCTGCCCGTACGGGCCAGTCTTGCCAGACTCTAGGGTTGTGCGCTCATCTCACTCTATAGGCCGGGAGCCAGCGCTGTCCGCAGACACTTCTGGGTCACGTGGCCAGCGTGACAAGCTGTATCTGGTGAGCCAGCGCAGCACACGGAACGCCGTTTACCTTCCCGCTGGTAAGCGGTCCCTATTTATCTACTTGCACCCGGGGGTGCTTTCGAACTGCTAGGTTGGCAGGCGCTGGGACCGAACGACGGGAGCGCACCCTGCCGCGGGGATTCGAACCGCTGACCATGCAATCAGCAAGTCCTAGGCGCTGAGGTTTTACCCACAGCGCCACCCGCGTCCCGATACAGTGGTACCTTGGGTTAAGTACTTAATTTGTTCCGGAGGTCAGTTCTTAACCTGAAACTGTTCTTAACCTGAAGCACCACTTTAGCTAATGGGGCCTCCCGCTGCTGCCGCGCCGCAGGAGCATGATTTCTGTTCTCATCCTGAAGCAAATTTCTTAACCCGAGGTAATATTTCTGGGTTAGCAGAGTCTGTAACCTGAAGCGTATGTAACCCAAGGTACCACTGTACAAGGGTTTTTTTTAAAAAAAATAAAATAAAAACGAAGAAATTTATATGTTGCCCAGTTAAGTTTTAAAAGCCAATTACTGTATTAAGTTTCTACAATTGCCCATCAATCTTAATAATATGAAATATTTCCTAATGTCACTAGAGGGCAATATATTAGTTACATTGCGGGGTGGGGTGGGGGTCATTGTAATTTCCAAAGGAAATGCTGCACATGAAACCAAATGAAAGAAGCAGATAAAATTGTGAGAAATCAGGCGCACTATGCATCTGGCTACAATTTACCAAACCCTTTCTGTTTTACTCAAATTGGTACTTGTAAAAAAAAAAATCACTACAGAGCATGCTCTAGCACATCCTGGGGAACTAGGTTGTTCTCGAAGTCTGTTGGCAGCTATAGAGGGGCAGGATTTTCCAGATGTGTTTCTGGGTTCCTGTAGAAGGTGAAAGTAAGACCAAGAGGGATTTCACGCAACTGCTTGCGGGAAAGGACGACGACAATGGATTATCAGCAAACCACTACTCTGATTTGATGCCACAGAAGAGAGTCTCAGGAGTACCCCTGCCTTAACACAGGCATTCACCACCTAAAAATAAATCACTATTTCTATGCTGCAAGGGTCTCCCAGAGCAGTGCCCAACAAACCAGTAGAGCACAGTATTTCATCATGTATATGTTAGAAAAAAATAAGCCATAAAACTATCTGAAATCAAACAGGCAGTAAAACCAATCTCCGGTCAGGTCCTAGCATGTTGATGGCTATCTTTGGAGATAGATACGACCACTCAGGCAAACATACATATGTATCACGTACTTTACTTGTGGATCCAATGAAATACGTGTAACCCAAGCTTCCATCCATGTAGATAACCCTGTTTCCAGCCAATCTGACTGGTTGCTGCGAGCCACACAATGATTATGGCTCAAGCTTGCCAGAGAAGCCTCCCCCAACTGGAATACATTTCTGCCTCCTTAGAATGGCAGAAGCATCATTTCCCAAAACTTTGCCTTGATCCTAATAGTCCTATGCTTAATAATAATAATAATAATAATTTATTGTTTCTACTCTGCCCATCTGGCTAGGTTTCCTGATACACAAACCTTTCTTCCCACAAACTTTTCCCCCTGGTGACAAACAGTTACCCCCTTGGTAACTGCTACATTTAGTGGAATGTTAATGATTTTGTTAAGTTTGCCAATATGCATATCATATGCTGTGTTTGGTAGAGTTTTGTTATGCTGTGTATTTTTGCTGTTTTTGTCACCTACAGCAAAAGGGAATTGAATATATGGAGAAGATTATCAACTCCAGTTCCCCTAAAGCAAGGCATTTGAAGTTTGCCGCTGCCTACAACCTTGGAAGAGCTTGCTATGAAGGATGTGGAATTGAGATTTCAGAGAAAGATGCTGAACGGTAACTTTCACGAGACACCTGTGCTACGTGGATGCACTTTTGGGAAAGGTCACATGTGTTAATGCCTCTTTCACGCACGCAAACATCAGTCTTTGCCTCGTCACACCACATAGCTATTTTACTGGTAGGAAATGTGCACAGCAGGAATCATTTTCTCAGCACGGAGACAAGGAGCTCGGTCTGCCACTTTTTCCAGGTACCCACTTCATTGTAATTGCATCTGGACACTGCAATATAGAACAGCCCTAAAGCAGGAGTGGGGAACCTTTGTTGTTGTTTTTCACTTGTCAAAGCCAGCATTCACTTAGGAGTAATCTGTCAGGTGTCATTGGTGGGCAGGGACAGAGCCTCTTTGTCCGTGCATGCTATCACCTTTTAGAAAACATTTCATTCCCTTCTCCATCACCTCCACATAATGGGTTTGGCTGCCAGGAGATGGAGCAACAGATTAATTTTGCCAGAGGTCTGAGCAGATAACTTACAGAGGGCTTTTTAACTCTCCACCTTCCATTGCTTCATCTGTCTTGGGCGGGATCTAGACACATCAAAGAAGCATTTCAGTTTAAAGCATTGTAAATTTAAACAGGGAAAACAGGTAGAGAAAAACAGGACTCCATGTCGCCATCTGGTTTCACAATGTTATATGGCACATAAAGGTAAAGGGACCCCTGACCATTAGGTCCAATCGCGGACGACTCTGGGGTTGCGGTGCTCATCTCGCTTTATTGGCTGAGGGAGCCAGCGTGACTAAGCCGCTTCTGGCGAACCAGAGCAGTGCACGGAAATGGTGTTTACCTTCCTGCCAGAGTGGTAACTATTTATCTACTGCACTTTGATGTGCTTTCGAACTGCTAGGTTGACAGGAGCAGGGACTAAGCAACGGGAGCTCACCCCGTCACGGGGATTTGAACCGCCGACCTTCTGATCAGCAAGCCCTAGGCTGTGGTTTAACCCACAGCGCCATCCACGTCCTATATCACACATACAACGCACATAAATCGCTTTTTCTTTACCAGTCTAGCTCTGTCCATTGCTTCTCCCTTTCCCTTTATTCTTCTGCCCACCCCCATATAAATTCAGTCAGTGAGTCACGGGTTACCTATGCCTGTTTTAAGAGGAACAGGCCAACCATGCCACTCATGTTTTCCTATGTCTTCCAGTTTATGGTTTATTGCTGCAGACCACGGGAACCCAAAAGCAAGTGTAAAGGCTCAAACAGCCCTTGGGATGCTGTATTCAGCAAAGCATCGAAAGGATCTGAAAAAGGTACGTGTCCTGCTTTGGCTTACATCACAAAGCTTGATTCAGGTGTGCTGTCCAGTTAAATGAGGCGGCTGTGATTTAGATGTGGCAAGAATCAAGTGAGTAGTACAAAATACTTGTGCATCCACAACTGGTTTGCAATGAAACGTTGCCAAGCATTTTAAGGTGTTTCTTAAGTACCTGGTGCCTTTTAACATGCAGCACTTATTGCCAGGGGGGAGAAAGTTTTACAGCAGCACTGTCCCTAATCTGCTTGTAGCTGTAGGCAACTAGGCATGTGTAAGAGCTATTGCAGGGGTCAGCAAACTTTTTCAGCAGGGGACCAGTCCACTGTCCCTCAGACCTTGTGTGTGTGTGTGTGTGTGTGTGTGTGTATTAGGGGGGGGATGAACGAATTCCTATGCTCCACAAATAACCCAGAGATGCATTTTAAATAAAAGCACACATTCTACTCATGCAAAAACACCAGACAGGCCCCACAAATAACCCAGAGATGCATTTTAAATAAAAGGACACATTCTACTCATGTAAAAACATGCTGATTCCCAGACTGTCCGCGGGCCGGATTTAGAAGATGATTGGGCTGGATTTGGCCCCCGGGCCTTAGGTTGCCTACCCATGAGCTAGTGGCTCTTTGTGAAGCTACATCCCCATTTGCATCAAAAGATGATCCAGCCATTATGACACTGATGAGAACAGTATCCAGCTGCACGTTGGCAGTGCATGTAGAAGCCTGGTTATACAGGCAAATCCTCCTTGCTTGAGAAAAAAAATACCTATTATCTTTTCTCTATGTGAATAAGAATAAGCATGCTTGGTATATTAAACCATTTTAGAAGAGCTAGCTTCTACTAACTTTCAGAATAAACTACGAGACACAGTAGCCTTTCACCTTATCTGAATTTAGGGTTCCGGATACCCATATCACTTATGATTGTTGCCACTGCAAGAAGTGAAATGTGTGGTCCCCCCCCACAAGCCATTTGCTTCCCTGAGTTTTCAAGCAAAACACACTTCCCCCATTTAAGCCAAACATTCTTGCCTTAGCTTTCAAATACCCAGGAGAAAGAAGGATCCAACTTGCACCAATATAAACTCAAATAATTCCCCCCCAAGAAATTGAGCCACAGCAATTATGAGAATAGTTTAATGTACTACCAGATGAAGGGCAGTGTAGAAATAAAATGAAGATGATAGCAGCACTACAAAGAAAAAGAATGAAGTGGTACGTTGGCAAAAGCAAAATTCACTTTCGACCCTTTGACATTTGTGGCCAGGTTTGCGTAATGAAACACTAATGAGCTGCGTGGGTTGGCACATCAGACTTGGATCTCATGATAACAGCATTAGTCATTTGAAGGAAGGCTTGAACATCCTGGGGTAATTTAACAACCAATCTTTTCTTAATGCCATGAGCTCAACATTTCAAAAAATAAGAAGGCATTAAATATCAGAGAAGTTCTGCATTTATAACTAAGCAAAAAATCTGGCAGGCTGTAAATAGAAACATTGGCTTGCTCTTTTTAAAAGACTGTGTTCTAAGATTAAGTGCTCAAACACACTTCCACTTGTCCCACTGCTTTCCCCCAGGAAAACGTGCTGTTTACCGCTGAATCAGAACAAAACGTCAATTGGGTTTTCTGCGGATCAACATTTGTTCCGATTCAACAGCAAGTTTTCCTAGGGAAAGCAGCAGGGCAGACAAAGAACCTCTCGTACCAATGCCTATCAAGCATAGGGCAAGCAGAAGTGTGGTGGACAAGCCCCAAGAGTCTATACTGCAGTTGGTAGCCGCCCATACCCTACGTCAGAAGTGCTGGCGTGTTCACTACCATTTTCACTGCCATTTATGCATATGCCTAAATTGGGAATCGCCAACATTTTTGGGACCATGAACAAGCAGGAGAAACTGTTACGGGCACCACATATAAACTCCGCAACCAAGGCCACACCACAACCTGTTCTATGGGCTGCAACAGAATGTTTCTTTCAAGCCTGATTTCAGCCAGGGCAGGGGACCCCGTAGGCGTCAGCAAAAGCCCCTGTGGGAACCACATTGGTACCCCCTAATCTATGTAATCCTGTCAACCTAGCAGTTCCTGCCAACCTAGCAGTTCGAAAGCACGTTAAAGATAAATAGGTAGATAAATAGTAGTAGATAAATAGGTACCACTCCAGTGGGAAGGTAAACGCCGTTACCATGCGCTGCTCTGGTTTCGCCAGAAGCAGCTTAGTCATGCTGGCCACATGACCTGGAAAAACTGTCTGCGGACAAACGTCGGCTCCCTCGGCCAGTAAAGCACGATAAGCGCCACAACCCGTCGTTTGTGACTGGACTTAACTGTCAAGGGTCCTTTACCTTTACCTTTACCGGCTATATAATAAGAGAGCCCTCAAATCAGTTGGCTAAAGTGCCAATGACATGTAATTTAATGGCCGTTATATTATGGTGAATACAAGTCTACATCTCTGCCTAGCCAGTGAGGCTGCTCGTAAGGGTATTTTGTACGGTACCCATTCAACCATGTTGCCACTATATATGTTTCAAAACCCCATTCTTTCTCCTACAGGCCTTCTTTTGGCATTCAGAAGCTTGTGGGAATGGGAGCCTGGAATCACAGGGCATCCTTGGTCTTATGTATTTTTATGGGCACGGTGTACGTCCAAATTTAAAAGCTGCTCTGGAGTGCCTGACTGCAGCCTCAGATCGTGGGAATGTCTATGCTAAAGGTCACTTGGTGGAATATTACTACAAAAGGAAATTTTTTACAAAAGCAGCTGACTTTGCCAAAAGGTAAATTAATTCATTAATAGTTACAGATAGGTAGCCGTGTTGGTCTGCCATAGTCAAAACAAAAAAAATCCTTCCAGTAGCACCTTAAAGACCAACTAAGTTAGTTCTTGGTATGAGCTTTCGTGTGCATGCACACTTCTTCAGATACACACTTCAGTGTATCTGAAGTGTATATTCACTGTATCTGAAGAAGTGTGCATGCACACGAAAGCTCATACCAAGAACTAACTTAGTTGGTCTTTAAGGTGCTACTGGAAGGAATTTTTTTTGTTTTAATTCATTAATAATTCAAGTGGAAGCTAACGATGAAAACAAAGGCATTATTAGATCAGTTCCTAAAGAACAGATACATAGAAATATCGTACCTTTTAAATTTTGTGTTGCTGATCTTAAAAAAAACAATTCTGCTTGTTGCAACTAAATTTCCTCTCTGCTTGGCTCTCCTTGCTTTCTCCAGCAAAAGGGAAAGACGGGGGGGGGGGGGGAGAGAACAATCAGTTTTATGTTTTGCCCTTAATATCCACTAAATTCAGGATACTAGATTTTAAGTGGGAGGAACACATGTGTTTACCCAAGAAAGGCATAATTATCTAGTTCATATCTGGTGAGGCATGGTGGTAAGACAATTTTCTTCATGTCACTATTCAATAAAGAATTATTTTACTTTCCAGATCGCATGTTCAAGTGCTAAAGTAATCTTCTTCTAGCTCAAGGGTTTTTTCAGCAATACATCAAGCTTCAGTTTTAAAGCACTTGGATGTCATTTGAGAATGGAGAAATGATTCAGCACTCTCATTTTTGCCTTAATGGTTTTGTTAAATGATGTCCTAGAACTTTGGGAAATAGCTACCATTCCACTTGTTCCTACCTGGTTTGTGACAAGAATGATACATCTAACCTTTTGCCTAATGGTGCCTGTCTAAGCATGCTCACTCAGAAGCAAGGCTCACTATGTTCAGTGGGGCTTACATCTAGGAAAGTGTACATGGGTTTGCAGCCTGTATCTGACATTTCTGGGAAGAGTCTCTGAAGACGAGGGAATGCAGTCACAGACAGAGCAGGAGTGGGTTAGTTCGGCACCCCTTCATCAAGAGTTCCCAGACTCAGAGCAGCAGATTCAGAAGGCTTGCAGGCAGAGAGAAGGGAGGAGTAGATGACATTGAGGGGATTGCTATGCAACCAGGAGGGAGGCAGCATTTAGAGGACTCTTCTTTTGAGGGGGGGGGGGGGAGTCCACCCACCTTCTCCCCAAACCAGAAGAGCTGAAAGGGAAGTATAGACTCAGGGCGAAGACTCAGAGTGACCAACTCGTAGTTAAGAGCGGCAGGCTCAGAGCTGCTCTCTGGGTGTTAATTGTAAATAAACATACCATAAAACTGCCAGAGACTCGTTAATTCTTATCGGAGCTCGCTTGCCTGCCTGAGATCATTACAACAAGTCACTATACTACTGTGAAATCTTTGGGCCAAGCTCAACATTACATTATTCACATTGCCTGGCCTTGTACAAGTTGATTTCATTTTTTGTTTAACCCAGTAGGGGCTGTGTCCCTACTTGCTCTGCTCGCCATTCCTCCATGTTTACTCCAAAGTGGTTCCCCCTTCCCACCCCATGCAACTAAACTTGGTTTTCACCACCACAACTCCATTTTTGAAGCCACTTCTCTATTCCTTTCCTCAGCCCTGCTCTGCACCTGGTTTTGCCTTCACTGCCATGTTCATTTGAGGGCTCTGCGTCCTTTTTCTCTCACACAGGAGACGGCTGAAGAATGGAAGAGGGAGATGTTTAAATACAATGAGAAGGGAGGGATCCTGAGAAGAGAGAACATGCTGGTGTTCTGGGAAGGGAGACCAGGGAGGAAGCCCCCAATTAGGACTGGTACCATAGTAGGGGGAAAGCCCTATTTCCTCCCAACCCCCAGCATGCTCTCAGTCTGGATCACCACCTTCCCATGTCAGTTATTTGTTTAACACACAGCCAGACAATTTGAACACCATCATGTCTGTAAGTTGCCTTTAGTCCTATCAGGGAAAAAGGCGAGGTATAAATTAATAATAATAATAATAATAATAATAATAATAATAATAATATAAATATCTAGTCTGGCCCTTAATTCTCCCAACTTATAATGATTAGCTTGCTTTGCTATGAGATCACAACAAACTTCTAATCTCCCACCTCCTTCTGACAGCAGCAGCAATGCCAGCTTTTGCAGACCCTTCTCGTTCTAATGCTGTTTTGACCAAGAGCAAAAGGCTCTTAGTATTTAACATCCCCTCCATTTTTTCTGAAAACAGCAACAAAAGCCCTATCAACATGCTTTTCATGTTCAAGCAAATGAGACTGAGAAGACAAGATGTGTGGGGGCGGGGACTATGACACAAGCCTGTCTCTGTTGCTGTTTCAGAAGAAATATGGCTTTAACAACCCTTTGCTTGTCTCTTGGTTCATTTGCAAAAAGTGGAGAAGGGCATGAGGATTTTAGCACAAAAATGCACCAATTATACAAGTTATTCCTGCTTCTTCCCTTAAACATCAACATGTAAGGACGCTGTCATGCTGAAGTTTGCGTGGCTGCTGGTAAGCCGCCACACCAACTCCGGTATTTAATAAATAAAAATAAAAACAAGTAAACAGGGCAAATGACAGGCAGGCAGGTGAGCAAACAAGCAGTGCAGTGGCAGGCAGCCCTGACAAATTTATTTAATGGGGGGGGGAGGCGCATCAGAGAGCTGTTTAGCAAGGCACTCTGAAGTACCTCCCTCCAGCTGTGTTAGCATTCCAGAAAACTGCTCTTTAAAGCACCTCCCCATTGCTTTAAAAGGGCTTAGCAGAAGGTGGGAGTAGAGAGGTGGTTTGTGCTAGCTGTGACTGCTGCGGAGGGATAGCAAAGGGGTGGGTATAAAGTGAGAGGTTTGATCAGATGTGTAGGAAGAACAGTTGGCAAAGTCGTAATGGCGGCCCCCAAGTGTTCTGAGAATAACTAACCTTTTACCTTGTATTGTGAATCCAAACAGGACTGCAGAAAATGATGACGTTGAAAAGTTAGCAAAGGCAACAGACTGCATTCCTTTTTATATAAAGAGAGGGCTTGCTATGGCTTCCTTCTACCTGGCTAGATGTCTCCAGTTTGGCCTAGGAACACAACAAGATTTAGCAGCAGCTAAAAATTATTATTCTAAGGTAAGTTGCTTTAACTCTGTTAGTTCTTTGAGGCGACATTATTTGGATTTTCATTCAAAATACTTTTTTTAAAAAGTGTGTCCCCTTGTAGCTTTGTAATATAATACGATGAAGGTATAAAGTTCATTTGCAATTATGGTCACTCTAATTCATCTTTGTGTTCATAGGCATGCAGGCTGGATCCCGATCTGGCTTCTGAACTTGAGCTACTGGCTAATCATGGGAGAATTTAGAGCAACATTTTGATGAATCTGAGCAAGTTCCGGCAGTTTGTCTTTATAACGACAAATGTCAGTTGTCGTTCAGCTTTTGATAAATCATGGTTATTATTTCAAGCATTTTAGGTACATAATGTTCTGATTATCTTCATCTAAAAGTAAAGCATTGTATGAGTTACTTTCAGTGTTACGTAACCATCAAGTTTAGGTCAACGTGCATTAAGTTCAGAACTGTAGCTCTGTTACCTGGTATCAGGGTGGGGTGCAGGACTGTCTCTCACCATTTCTGACAGTTCGCCATGCTGACTGGGGCTGATGGAATCCAACAGCATTAGGAAGGCTGTCCAACCCTAGTTTACTTAATAAAAAGTGCATCATTAAATGCATCTTTCATTGCCTACAAATACTTAAAAGTTTTGAAGGCCAGCTTATTAAATACCCCTCAGTTCTTAGATAATTTTTCTTATTTCAGTCATCAGTTGCACATTGCAAAAGAATACTGGAATTAAACAACTGAACCATCCTTTACATATACTACTTTGTTGAAAAGTCCCATATCAGACCTTTCTAGTATTGCTGAACAGTAGTACACCCTGTAGATGCTGAAGCTTTACAATTTAGTCACCGTCTGTTTGTCAAGACATGCCTCTTGGGCAACTGCATGAAACTGGTGAGCACTAAACCCTCTGCCCTGTGTAGGTTGGCATATTGCAGAATCAAAGTAAACCGTGAGCTCAGGCATGTGGAGTTGATCACTGACACACTGTGACACATTGTGTGCATTTGAAATTGTACCATAAAAGTCCCTTACTACTCAAAAAGCTATTGGGCATTTCTTCAAGGCAGTAGTGGCTATGTTTTGAGCTGGCAAAGGATTGAGGCACCCACTCATGGAAAAGCGAAGTGGCTGTACTGCGGCATTTTTCTTTAGGAACAAGGAATTGAAAAGGGATGTTTTCTCCATCTGTTAAGGTGTGGGGGGAGACCCAAAAGCCTTTGGGGCCTACTCAGGCTTTGGAAATACCACCACATTTCCTAGCTGGACTAAATTAAGTTTCAAAAAATTCAAAAAGCAGGAGTCTCCAGCAATGAATCGGCAACCTTCGCATTAAATCCAGTTGTTCTTTTACCAGTGCTTTAAAAAGAGCCACATTTAGGAAAATAGCTATATAAATGATATCAAGAGGGGATGAAAGGTTTAAGTGAACAGGTTATTAGTATAATTGTTTATGCAATGAATGCCAAGTCATTCATTCATGTGATTTATGACAACATGAAATCTATGTTCTGCACCTTGCAGAATCAGTGCAATTCTCTCTGAAAGCAGCACTTTGACCCACTGAAAGTGTAGCTTAATTATGAAACACTACAGTTCATTTTTGTTATTTATTGCTTACAAAGGCTCCAAACTATGGGAAATCTTTGGTAAAAATAAAAACAATAAAATTTACACAATATCTTTACATATATTGCACAACAAGGCTCTTCAATACAACAAGAAAATAGAGGAATGTTCATTATCCTCAGCAAGGAAATTAACTGTACAACATTCATTGGTATACCACTAAAGCAAAATGCCTTTCATAAATGTTTTAAAATACTCTATAGTTCTTATACATTATATTAACATTTACATTTCAATCTGCATCTTAAACAGAATTATTCATGTAACAAGTTAAATAAAAGCCAGAAACTACGCAGTGCTGGCATTCTACCGTATCGTCAGTTCTTTCAAGTCTTGTTTGCTCCATGTAGAATTTAAAAAGAAAAGAAAAATACAAATTTGCAGTAGTCCTCAGCCAGCCCTCTGTGGAAAAGAGGGAAATAAGTTACATGTCTGCTATTAAGAACAGACATGTCTCTAGTAATTCACTTGTGCAGATTCAAACCTGAGCTGCTTTAAGCTGTTCTAAATGAGTTCGCAACTCAGGACACAGTTCAATTAGCAGCAATTCCAATAACACCTGGAAAAGAAGAGAGATTAAAAGCGTTTCTCCCCCTCTTTCTGAACTGGTAATTACAAACTTGGATAGTAAGTCATTAATAGGTGCAGAGATCAAGCCCACACACCCTGCCCCCCAGGACTACCACATGGATCCCACAGTGGTCAATTCAGGTACAAGGGGCATACGTGGAAGGAAGTAGTTGCTGTAAAGTCCACAGATTATTGTGGGGTCCGTTATGCTTTCCTCAGAGTGGCTGTCCAGTAAAAGCCTTTTCTAAGGTATTATACCTAGTTCCACAAGATCTCGCTGGAAGCTGCCACGCAACTCTGGCGGTGGGCAGGGCACGGCCCCATGGGATTCCACCACCCCAGGCGGCTGCTTCAGACTGCCTCATGGGCGGGCTTGGCCCTGTCTGGAAGGCTACAGCTTGTCCACTATGTACTATGGTTCATTGGCTGTTTTTTAAAAAAACAATTTGCACATCTGACAGTTGTAGAACCACACATGTAAAAATGCTCTTGGTAGCCCTCTTGGGAGGACCAAATCCTTATTATTCATCAATGTTTACTGTCACCTACAGGGCTCTGCACAGATTTTCACATACCTACGAAGACCTCAAGGATTAGTAAATTTATCAGGTTTAGATTATCCCTCTTCCACCCAGTCTAAACCAAAATCTCAAGCGGCAAAGAACTTCAAGGGGATTTTATCTCCCAAATTCCGCATTTCCCTCAGTGGATCTCACCCATCCCCGGTTAAAACAAATTCTGCAAGTTACCGTATTTTTCGCTCTATAACACGCAGATTTTTGCTCCTAAAAAGGAAGGGGAAATGTCTGTGCGTGTTATGGAGCGAATGTGTGTCCCTGGAGCCGAAAAATGAGGCAAAAATCAAACCGCGCTTCAGGGAGAAGGGAGCTCCGTGAGACAGGAAGCTGCAGCTTTCCTGCATTCTGCCTCAGGGTCTTACTGCCCACCCTGCTCTGTTTCGTTGCTGTGTTTGCTCAAACGGAACAAAGAGCAGGGAAAGCCCCTCCCCTCCAGGCAAGTAGAGAGGAAAGCAGAGCGTCCGAACAAAGAGCAGGGAAAGCCCCTCCCCTCCAGGCAAGTAGAGAGGAGAGCAGAGCGTCGCTCTATCCTGTCCCTGCTCCGGAGGGAACAATGTTTGTAAAGGGAAGAGAGATTACAGGTTCGGCTTAAAATTCTGATTTGACTTCCTGCTTTTTGTTTTTGGAGACACACAGCATTCAAATATGCTTTCTTCCATTTAAAAGGATGAAATCCTTAAACAGTGTTTTGCCTGTAAATTCATGCGATCTGGAAGATTACAGTGTCTGTACCTCTTAAGGGATGGCAAAGCTTAGGTTTCGCTGCTAAATAGTTCTTAATGCAGTTAAAATGCTTTCTTCTGTCATGCTGGTGGGAGGGAGAGAGAGAGAGAGAGAGAGAGAGAGCACGCTGGCTGGCTTGGGTGGGTTGGGGGGGGGGGAACTTTTGCCTTCCTTTCCTCACATTATAGCCCTCTCCTGCATTCTTAGCCTTCTGTGTTTTTCCTTCCCTCCCCACTTAAAATGTGGTTACAAAGCATGGATCCACATGGATCCTCAGGATCTTTGCATTGGGTCACCCCAAATTCACCATCAGAGCACACAGCATGTCCATGGCTACAGCCTGCCCCCCAAAAATCACACACCCATTGTTGCCTGGGGCTGCAATGGTGCAAAAACGTGGTTACAAAGCATGGATCCACATGGATCCTCAGGATCTTTGCATTGGGTCAGCCAAAATTCACCATCAGAGCACATAGCATGTCCATGGCTACAGCCTGTCCCCCCCCCCAAAAAAAATCACGCACCCACTGTTGCCTGGGGCTGCAATGGTGCAAAAACGTGGTTACAAAGCATGGATCCACATGGATCCTCAGGATCTTTGCATTGGGTCAGCCAAAATTCACCATCAGAGCACATAGCATGTCCATGGCTACAGCCTGTCCCCCCCCAAAAAAAAATCACGCACCCACTGTTGCCTGGGGCTGCAATGGTGCAAAAACGTGGTTACAAAGCATGGATCCACAGGGATTCTCAGGATTTTTGCATTGGGTCACCCCAAATTCACCATCAGATCACATGTCTGTGGCCACAGCATGAAGCACAAAAATGATACGTCCACTGTTTCATTCAGAATATTTTTTCCCTTGTTTTCCTCCTCTAAAAACGATGTGCGTGTTATGGTCAGGTGCGTGTTATAGAGCGAAAAATACGGTAATTCTAAAAGGTTAGAGGATAAAACAGCTACTGTTGCAGGCCAAAGGGTAAATGCCAGAAACTAACACCAAGAATCCAAGTTCTGAGGTCTGAAGGAAGAGTAATTTTAAGTAACAAACCCATGCAATAATGTGCTGGTAACTCACATAAAGAAGATGCTTATTGGCCTTGGTTTCTTGAAGTGCATTAAAGACTTTGATTACACCATGGCGAGCATTTTGCTGACCAACAAGACTCTGTAGTGTATCTGAAAGAAAATATAATTTTGGTGACGTAAAACACAGTATTAAAAATTAAAAATATATATACAATGAGCAACGTAAACTGTGTATTGAGATACTGATTCAAAAGCCTGCATATCCAAAATGTCAAAATAGATTCCTGTTATCTATCTTTTAAAAACAAATCAGAGATTTTAACATCAAGAAGAATATGATATGGATTAATACACATGTTAAGTGCCTTTTTATTTTCAACATTTGGGAGCAGTAGATTTAGTTCCCTGCTTCGCTGCTTTTTCCATATCACCTAAATGCCACCCTGACTTCTTTTAAAAGAAACAGTACTTCTACCCACAGAGTAACATCTGACAGATGTCAGGGATCCGTATAAAGGTTAAATATGCAACTCTCTCTGTGTGTGTACTTGGTTTGCTTAAAATTTAATCTCATAGATTTGCTTACTAAAGTGGGCAGTGTTTAACTCTGCCTGTGGAGTGTTTTTAACATTCTAAGGGCTAAACAAATGGTAAATATTGTTTATTACCATAATCTCCTTTGATTCATTACATTCTGAACATTAACATATGACTTGATTTGATATGCTCACCTGGAATGTTTTCAAGTAATTTTTGCTGTGCTTTCTGTTTCGTCTCCCGGCTTTGCTCTTCACTTCTGGGCTTTGAGCTGGATGCTAGTTTTCCATTTGGCCAAAAAGCATCTCGGAACACATTGATGTAGTAAACAAGCATTGGTTCACTGAAGATCCAATTTACAGTGTCACGAATTTGCCTTGAGGGAGAGGCGCCAAGAAGAAATGGTCATAATACTACAGCCAGAGTAGACATGCTTTTAACCCACTTTGAAACTTCCTAGAGACAACTTGCACATCAAGCAACAAAAATAGGGTTTCCACAAGGCAAATATCCACCTAGATACAATATGTTGCTTACAGCAACTTGGACTAATCTAAATGTTACTCTTACAGCTGCAATACCTAAAAGGGGGAAGAGAGGGAGAGAGAGCTAGGAACAGGATAGCAGCAAGCAGTGAAAACTAGGTTTGAGTAAAACAATAATTGGCAGTAATAATAAAATTATACATAAATGCAGCTATAATAATATTAACTATAAAACACAAACTTTTTAAGTTTTAACTTAAAATGTGATACTACTGTATTGTTGTGGAGGGGGGGAGCAGAGGTTTATTATTATTTTTTTAAAAAAGGTAGAGGTGAATCCCACTTCAAAATGTTTGAGAAGCACTGTTCTATGGAAACATGCAAATAGCTAGAAATCTTCCATTCTCATGCCCCCTCTGGTGGCTTCTAGTCACATTATATTTCAATGCAACCACTGTGTGTCTACATCTGATACTGGCTAATTCAGCATCCTGGAACTCTTATGCTTCATTTAAAGGGGAGGGCAGGCAAATTTCTAATCCCTAATCTAAGCTTGGCAATGTGCTGTGTAACTCTCATCTCCCCCATGCCTGACAGAATGAGAATTATGCAAAATAAGCAAATACCGTATTTTTTGCTCTATAAGACTCACTTTTTCCCTCCTAAAAAGTAAGGGGAAATGTGTGTGCGTCTTATGGAGTGAATGCAGGCTGTGCAGCTATCCCAGAAGCCAGAACAGCAAGAGGGTGCGCAGCAATCCCTCTTGTTGTTCTGGCTTCTGAGATTCAGAATATTTTTTTCTTCTTTTCCTCCTCCAAAAACTAGGTGCGTCTTATGGTCTGGTGCGTCTTATGGAGCGAAAAATACGGTATATACAAATTGATGCAGATCACAAATTTGAATTTCCTTGGCACCAAATTTTGGGAAAGCCTGGCTGCTTTCTGGTTCAGCCCTGAGTACCCACCCTGCTTTCTGGTTCAGCCCTGAGTACATAAGGATTTGTGACATACAAGGTGCATGGGGAAAGTTAAGAAAGATTTGTCTGGAATTCTGAAACGAAGCTTGTGAAATTTTAACTTTCCTTTTCTACATACAAAGAAACATGCAGAAGCTAGTTTCTGAACAAACATGCTAGCCATGTCAGTGCTGTTGTCAGCTGTTCCTGCATCAAGCAGCTGATTCAGAGTACAATTCTAGAAGCAGAGAAATCGTAATGCACTCACTTGTTGATGGTTCTTCCAAAAGTGATTTGAACTAGTGCAATTAGCGTCTTCCTCACCCACTTAAACACTAAAACAAACAAAAGCAAGCAGCACACAGAAGTCAACTCCAAGCATGCAGTTAGGGTCTACTCAAATACTCTTAAGTATATGTTCACGTTATGCTGTTTACTACGTAAAAATCCGCCCCCTTTTAATTACTACAAGTGATTATGTGACTTTTCCTACTCAGCAGCCTTCATAGGGAGCCCAGACAATTGTTTAAAATGGCCAACCTTTCTAGTGAACAATTATTCCCTAGTGCTTATTTGCACACAGATGGTTTGAATGTATCAGGATACAAAACTCATTTATTTATTGCTACATATTTTCAGTGCTTTTTTTCTAGAAAAAATAGGTGCCGGTACTCACCACGAAGTTGTTACAGAAAGTGTCACACTTTTTAACAACAAAAGAGGTGTAGTGTACCCTTGAGTACCCCCTAAAAAAAAGCACTGCCTATTTTACATTGAAGATTTTAACATATAGCATGCAACACTAAAACACCTTTTTCCATGTGGAAATTAGCTAAAGAGTTACACTGCTCAACATGCTCAACCTCAGAATGTTTCTTTACAGAGTTATTTCTGCAACACAGGGGCTGCGCATTAACACTAAACCATGACTAAGACATATGCAAATGAGGTGCAGGAAACCTGATTTATGTGGGCCACGGGTAGAACAATTTTACCTGCGTGAATGTTGCAAGTGCACCTACCCAGGTCACAACCATGCTAATGCTACATGCAAAAAGCACGCGTCTATGCAATGAGGTGCATGTAGAACATTTTACATACGCAAGTGCTTGATTTATGGCTCAAGTCATGTTTCCGACAGAAAACCACCTTCCCATATTAAAACCGAGCATGAAAATGTGGTGCATTTCTCTCATCCTGATGAGTGCACTCACAGAATCATAGAATTGTAGAGTTGGAAGGAACATCACCACGGTCATCTAGTCCAACCCAACAATGAACAAGACCACTGCTTACTTCCTCGCAGCTCAAATATCTCTCCTATCAGCATGAAGCAAGGCTCCGCAAGGGCATCCCGTTTCCCATCCACATCTTCTCCATAGTCAGACAGGTCGTCATCGTCTTCAGCCTCCTCCTGGACAAACCAAACAAGCACAGGGTGGCAAAGGTGGTTCCAAAAGTTATGGCGGCCATTTGTGCTCCCCATCTAAGATAGCAATCTGAGGCTGCTCCCTCCGCCTAATGGTGGAGCCACCCACACTGTCCAAGTCTGTACCGCCAGCAAAAATTTATATGCCTGAGACAGGCATCACAAATTATTTCAAATTAAACATTTAAGTAAGAAGATACTATGTAATGCCCCTGCATATATAAATCAGCCGTCAGATCCAGATTTACGCCTCTACATCTTGTAGCCATTCAAAGGCTGTCCACTTGCTTTATGCTAATGCCAAATCTTCACTCCCATAGTCCATTATCTCTTACTCTTTCTTGCCAATGAATTAGTGAGGACAGCCAAGGCAGTAAAGGTTGAGCAGAAGGTTAAGACCAATGGTGCTTCTACAGTGGTACCTCAGGTTACATACGCTTCAGGTTACAGGCGCTTCAGGTTACAGACTCCGCTAACCCAGAAATAGTACCTCGGGTTAAGAACTTTGCTTCAGGATGAGAACAGAAATCGCACAGCAGCGGCGCAGCGGCAGGCCCCATTAGCTAAAGTGGTGCTTCAGGTTAAGAACAGTTTCAGGTTAAGAACGGACCTCCAGAACGAATTAAGTTCTTAACCAGAGAACTTATATATACCACTGTATATTGACATAAGCTTTCTAGAATACTGCCTAGGCTTTGCTGCCCAGGATTCTTCAACTGGGCAAGGCATGGCTTAGACTTGGGTCTCATGCATGCCATTGTACGTGCTTCAATCACCAAGATTTGTGTACCTGGGCACAAGCCGCAATGGATTTCACAATAGCTTTCAGTGGAGCTTGAACAGTTGGTGCCAGTGAAATGTGGAGATGGCACAAACATTCATTGGCAACCTGCATTACAGTTGGCAGAGCGCTTTAATATGCTGTCCATTAGTTCATGTATTTAAATTAATTCTGCAGATAGTTCCATCTGAGATGCTTCCTATTTATTCTGGGTGCTCATCTACCGTAAATATTGCTCTTTACCCACTCACCTCTTGATGAGAAAAGAAATCACCGGGAAGCCTCTCCAAAAAAGAAGCGAGTGAAAAAGAAGATTTCTTTCCCTGTACATCGATAACCTTGAGGTGTTCTGGAGAAGGGCTTAAAAAGGCATAAAGTGCTTCACTCTGACAGAGCCTTTCATCAGAAAGCAATTTCTGTGGAAAAAGAAAAGCCACCACAATTGTAATTTTCTTTTTTAAACAGAGCAGATGAAGACTCTGCATGAGGGCAAGGAGTGCTAATCAGCACTGCCCATGTCAGCCAGTCTTAAGGGTTTACAAAATCAGCAGTGATTTCTGGAATCAATACACTTCAGTAGCTCCTAGGCACATTCCTGGCAAGTCTGTTAATTGAAAACAGCACAGGGGAAGCATCCTGTTTATGCTTTTCACACTGGTGCCGTCTAAGTGCGAAGTGGACCTACCTAACAATGGCCTCAGAGAGTTGCTAAGGGACAATCTGTAGGCCTTGCCACCAGAGCTGTCAGTAGCTAACTGGACTTCTCCTAGTAGCTGCATGTCAATGGCATGGGTAGCTGGGTAGTTGTGCAGGCTGCACGCCCCTCTCTCTCCTTGAATATTGGTCAATTGGGGCCATCAAAGCAATCCCATCATCCCCCCTCAACAGTACTTAAAAGAAATTACTAAGATGTTTTACATATTATTTGATCCTGAATAAGAGTTACTTAAGCATTGGGGAGGGGCTAGAGGGCCAAGAGAACTCTAAAAGGATTTCCTCTAAGCATGGAACCCCTTGACTGCTTTCAACAGCAGTTCTGGAACTTCAACGAACCGCTCAGCAGAGCAACCTAAAGGAAATTTTCAGCTGCATCACTATTTGGGGTTGGAGAAAAGGGTTGATTAATGAAGTCTGGTCACGGTTGATGGTATGAGTAAGACGCAAGAATGTAGTAGGATTCTGAAACACCACAGAATCCATCGAAAGGTGAAGTGGGAGATGTGGAGCCCATCTGAGAGAGTACCTAGTTTGTCCCAGAGAACGCAACAGAAAAGTAGGAGCTGTTATTGGCTACAGGCACAGCCAACCAGAACAAGTGTCAAGAGCTGTTCACTACATTGGGCTGTACGCTAGAAAAGCCACGTTTGACACCACCAGCCAGTTCTGTGTACCTGACAAGTGTACTTCTTTGATACGCTAAACATATGTAAACCTAAGTTACACATTTACACAGATCCAAACATATACATCATACCTTACTGTATGATCAGGTTTGCACTTAAAATACCTTGAGTTATACATTTAAATAACACAGGCCTAAATCCAGAGCAATTTGGTCATACTAAAGTCACATCCACATCAACAATTAGTTGTAAGTAATGCCCAATTGAAATGAATAGGACTTCAAATTCGGCTCGCTCTGGATTTGGATTGCAGTATGTGAAAAGGCCAATAAACATTGGGGGAAAATATTTGGAAAACCATTAAAAGGATATACATTGAAATCCAACCAAGGGGAATGTTAATAAGTATAATTTTAATAAGGTTATGATTTATGTTTGTTTGTCTTTTATTTGTTTGTTTGTTTATAATTTTGTGAAAATCAATTAAAAAAATTGGGGGGGGGGGAAATAAACATTGGGGGAAATGTGAGAATATGCAATCAAGAAATTGAATTCCTTACTCTAAAGCCCATGCAAAAAAGGACAATGCAACATTCTGAGTTAGTAAAATAAAACAGATATATATATTGTGATTGCTGCTTCTTTGATATCTTACCTGTAAGAAGTTATTTAACTGGTTCTTTGACTTCTCCATAAATTTCTGGTCTACTGATTTAAAGGGCAGTTTGCTGAGTGAAGGCAACTGAGCTTTTTTTAATGATGGGAAGCACTAGGTGGGAGGACGGGGAAAGAAAGCAAATCACAATTATTTCTCCATTTTAATTTACACACTGTCTTTATTTTTGTCCTGTTCAATTTAGTCAGAAAGGGAAGAACTAGTTTTCGGCTCCTCTGCCTGTACCCTTGATTGCCTGCAGGAACTCTTCCATCAATCAGCCAAAAAGAGTAGCTCTAAGTGCAGTACTAGGCTGCAGAAATAAGCCAATGCCAGCTTAAGGCTCATTGGAACTAACATCTTGCAAAAAATGCAGAGTATAATAGGTTATAAAAGGGTCAGGTCAATGCAATTAAGCAAGTAGAAGAAAGCTGTAAGGCCTTCATACAGCCAGAATAAAAATGGCAAAATAAGAATGAACCAACAAATAGTTGGAAGGAAAAAGAAAGAGCTATTGTGAAAATAATTTACTTTAGGTGTATATGAAAAGACGGAACAAAGCCTATGTTCACATTTGCCTTTCAGTGTCAGCTTAACATGTCATGATGCCTTTCTACCACTGGCTGCTGTCACTCACACTCACATGCACACATACTATGCCTTGCATGCTATGCCTCTTTGACTTGATGTGCTTAAGCCAACTCTCTGAACTAACATGAACACAGGATAAAAAGTTTTAGATACAGCATATAAGCTTACACTCTTCTAGGATGTTGAGAGCCAGTGTGGACTACGCTCTAACAAAACCAGATTAAAAGAACGGGGGTGCGGGGGGCACATGAACATAATGGTGTTTGGTGCTGCTCTGGGCTCCTTTAGGAGGAAGGGTGGGATATGAATTTAGTGAATAAATAATAAACACACAGAAGGCACCCTGTGGTTGGAATACTCCCCTTGAAAGTACCAGCAGCAAAAACACAAGACAACAAAGAGAAAATTGCCAGGTTCCCTGAACAGAAAAATGTTGCTGAGAAGAATCAGTAAATGTAGTGAACAGAAGGGAGACAAAACACCAAGAGAGCGAAAACAAAACAGCCCAATTTTCTGCCTCACAAGAGCAGAAAAGGGGAAAGAGGAAGGAAAGGGGGCAAAAAAAAAGGGCTTATGATCAGTGGAGTGATATGTTCTGAACTGCAGGAGCTCATGAAGAGAACCCCCAACTTGATTCTGACCAAACTAAGCCGCCTGATATATATATTGCTCTAGGAAGGTTTAGCGTGGTCAGAATCAAATACATGTATACACTTTCAGAGTTGTTGCTAAATACATTACTTCTGGTAAATGAGCCACCATAGCGGCTAGAGGGGAATCAAAATTTTTGCTCCCAGGCTTTTTAGACTTGTCTACCCATGTACTACCTGAAACCCAAGGGGTGCATTGGTTGCCAGATCTGACCCCCCCCCATCTCCTACCCCACTGTTATTGAATCTGACTGCCTGGTACTGGATAGCGGGTTGTTGTTTTTGTCAACAGACATGTCTGGCTCCTTCCCTACAATATGGGGGACAGAGGATACAGAAGTTGGCTATACAGAATATTAAAACTTCGCAAAAGCAACTTCCACATGTTCTCCATACCTCACTGAGTTTCCTATGTAGGCTTTGAAACTCGCTGAGCTTTCGGAGTACCGTCCATTCCTTAGCTTCAACGCTGCCAATCTCTTGTAAACTCACCATGACAGAGTAACAGGGCACTTGTTCACCATTTTCTTCTATGACCTAAAACAGAGATAGGGTTGGTTTATTATTATTATTATTATTATTATTATTATTATTATTATTACATCATCATCATACTGGAAAAGGATATGCATGCACACCTACATGACAGAAAGGTTCCACTTATTTATATATATTTTTTAAAAAAATTAAATAGAAGGAAAAATTCATACTTCGCTGGAATTTATGAAGGCTTTCCACATGCCGAAATTCTCACACCACCAATCTGTTCTTTCAATGTGCAATTGAAGGTCACCGTGTTCTCGCTCCATCAGAGTGATTTCATCCTTCAGTTTAGAAACAATCTGCCAAGGAGGGGGGGAAACCACTTGTTATTACCGGTTATCATATTCCTTCCTTCCTTCCTTCCTTCCTTCCTTCCTTCCTTCCTTCCTTCCTTCCTTCCTTTAAAGAAAATCTACACAACTATTGCAACAGATCACTCTGGTGCATGTACTGGACGAAACAGATTAAAATGTGTAGCAATAAGGAAGAGAAATAAAAAATTGTCAGGGAGTGGAAGGGAAAGAGGCAAGGAATTTAGTAAAAGCTCCCAAACCGATTCCCCATCTAAATGACTCTGTCTTGACATAGCAGTACTGCTTAAAAGGTCATGCATAATTTGCTTAAGGTCACGTATAGTTCAGAAATGAAAAGCAAATTAAGCCCTGAAACATAATGATAAATGGAGATTTAGCGCTGAGTTCATGAAAGATAGGGGGAAGGGGGAAATCATTACAGAAAAGTTTTTAAAAGATGCCATGAACTAAAAAAGTTAAAAATACTTAAGATATTGTCCAGCACTAATTCACTTAGATATTTTTTTTGGGGGGGACACAGTAGGCTGTTAGACAGCTGAGGGGAAATGCACATTCAGCAACCTAATAGATAATCTATGCAGAGAGGTCCAACATCATGGTGCAGAACTAGATTGTAAAGAGGCTTTGGAATCTTTGGACCTTAAAAAGTATGGTTATGCTACACACTATTTTTATGGGTACACACAGAATATTGTGTTTATCTGTAAAATTGTAACAAAGGCCAAGTGGCAATTGCATGACTTCAGATGAATGCATCACATCATGAACCCAGGAATCTGACTTAGCCATGCCTTAGTTGTTATATCACAGCAACATTGCTTTTGATGTTAATGTATGAAGCCCAAGGATGCACTGAAGGATCTGAAAGTGCTGAGGTGGTATTGTGGTTTATTTTATTGAATCATGTGAGCAGGAAAAGTGAAATAGAATAGAAGAGGCTTATACTTGATCAAAAAATACACAAGTAACCAACTACCAACAATTTTTTATAAGCAACTCCCATAAAGGCAGTTATTACTAAAAAAATTATATGTTTTTATTGATTCTCCATTACTCATAGTAACAACAATAAAACAACAAAAATTAAAAATTTTAAAAACTTCTGGGTCATTTGACAACGTTTTACTCCAGAGGTTAGTTTAGTAGAACTCTCCACAGACTGCCATGTGTCAAAGGCAGGTTATGAACATGGTCCTCATGCTGTATGAAGTCATGGAATGGTTGCCAAGTATTTTAAAATTAAAGGGGTTTGATTTCCCCTTGATTGCTCGTATCAGAACAAAAACCAGTTCTTACTGTTATACCAGTAAACACGTCAGATTAATTCCATGTGGCAACACAGCTGCAAAGCTCCGAATAATATTTTCCTGTGATATTGCAATCAACCCACATGGCAGGACCTTCCATGCCAACATCTAGGACTTGGTATCATTTTGTGTCTCATTTACCAAACCAAAGAGCAAGCACTGGTGCAGAACTGGAGAAGCAGGCAGGAATGCAGGTTTGATGCTATGCCATCAAAAAGGCCCATAGACCCTCACGCAGCATTTCAGAAATGCTAGAAAGCCCCACTGTCTATTCCACATTGTCACTAAAGTTCATAGTTCAGCAGTAGAGCACCAGCTTTACATGCAGAATGTCCAGAGCTCAATTTCTGCCAGCTCCAGTTAAAGAATATCAGGTAATAGATTTGAGAAAGATCTATGCTTGAGTCCTTGGAGAAGAACCAGGGTCAGCTGGAACTGACGATTACGGGGTTATAAGCAATCAAAGATCTGATTCTGTGTCAGACAGCTACATATGTACTTATATTCACTGACAGAACAACACTGCAACCCGCATAAATTGCTAAGGTCAGATTTTCAGGGTGCTGAGAAGGAAACAATATTAAATATTGTATATCATTGCCTTTGTGGAACAATCAGTGGCTAATGAGAAGCCTGGAAAACAGCACCTTCCAATTTATTTTTTGAAGTGAAAGCTCTCTAGAGTCTATCTACATGCCTACTCTGAAACACAGTCTGCCAGTATAATGCATATAAATAACAAAGCCACATACCTTTTTGTCAGGTTTTGGTGAACTGCAGAGAGAATTTAGAGCTTGTCTCTTATATTCAAGTCTGTCATTTAGCTGGCGTAGCTTATTCACAGCGTAACTGGCCTGCTCATTAATTCCGGAGCTTCCTTCATCAATAACTTCTTCACAAACTTGGTTCTAGAAGAGAAAGTATGGGTAGCCAACAGTGATCAATATATGTTAAAGTATAATCCGTTAACTTGACTACCTGGTTTAACACACATGGTCTAAGCAGAAGTAAATAACTGTACCAACTAGAATGAGATCTGGGTTTGAATCCCTCCTCAAATCACAAAGCTCACAGGTTAACCTTGAGCCAGCCACTGTCTCACAGCCACATCATGGTTGTTGTGAAAGTTAACATGATGTGGGAAAAGGACCATGAATGCTGCCCTAAAAGGGGTTTGATGGAAGACGTGTCTACCACTTACTCTTAGCCATAATAATTAAATGGAAGCTCCAGGTTCAGAGACAACACATCCAGTTGTTGGGGCAATAGTAGGAAGAGCTATTGCTGCCTGGCCACTGTTGGAAACAATGATAGACTAAGATGGACCTTTGGTCTGATCCCCCAGCGCTTATGATCCATGTCCCCCAATATTATTATGCTATCAAATATTCTAGTTTTTTACCCAGTTTATCTTCCATGGCAACGACAGTGCATCTGTAGGCATCACTCACCACTTCATCTTTGTCGTCAGATGTCATCTGAACGGTACTCCTCTCTTCTTCCTTCTTGATCAGCCTCTCATACAAATCGCTGACAAGGAACGATGGGTAGTACCTGTCCTTCAGTGTTTCATAAACATCAGTCTGGATTTTGTAAAACACCTCAATGCCTTTGTTGCCTACAAGGCTCTGCTGTATCTCTTTATACAGTGACTTTTCCACAGTAATCTCTCTGCCTTCTACAAAGAAATCCTGATAGATTTGACTCACAAGTTGAGGTATTTCAGCCTAAGGAGGAAGAAAAACCAACATGAAGAGATGCATCCATCATAATCAAGAACCATGCCGTTAAATATATGCTTGTTTATCCTATTCGGTTCTCTGAAGAATGACCCTTGGTTTTAAATATTTGTAAGCATACAGCAAATAATTATAATCATAATCCAGAGTACAGCATACTCAAACAGAAAGCAAGAAGGATCACACCCCATGCAGGTTTTTCTTTATTCCTTTTCATATGGCTGATCCTCAGCAACACATGGTAGGGAGATCACAGCAGCAGACTTCTTCTGCATGTGAACACTAAAAACATTATTTAAAAAAATACCAGTGATCTGAAAGATTAAGTGTTAACTGCTTATGTTTTCGAACAGTCCATTTTCTTCACTCATTTCATGAAATAGGGAATTGATTTTTAAATTTGGCCTGGTTTTTGCCACACCAGCACAACTGACTAGACTGATCTAGGAGCAGTTTATATGCAATTTGAATACTAAAGCCAATGCCAACTTTTTATACAACACTGGTTTACAATTACAGATAGGTAGCCGTGTTGGTCTGCCATAGTCAATACAAAAAACATTCCTTCCAGTAGCACCTTAAAGACCAACTAAGTTAGTTCTTGGTATGAGCTTTCGTGTGCATGCACACGAAAGCTCATACCAAGAACTAACTTAGTTGGTCTTTAAGGTGCTACTGGAAGGATTTTTTTTTGTTTTTACTTTGTACCTTGTTAGCATTCTTCAAGTATTCCACGGATTCCCAATATCTGATCAAAGATCTCTTATCCACTCTTTCCATGTATGTTCGGAAGTGCTCTCTGTAGGATGGGTTGCACAAAATATCCTCAAATTGAAGAATCTGGAGGGGGGAGGGGGACAATTAATGACATTATTTCAATTAACTAATCTAGTTCACAGGTTACAAACCTCATTAAGCGCACTTATTATTGACAAAGTGGATTAAGGCTGGAATGATCAGCAGAGTTAATCCAAGATTCTGGATTCATTGTTTTTTATACCTTACCATTTCCCCAGCACTCTGATAAAAATCTCAGGAGGCATTAAAAATGTTTCATGGATGCAGAGATCATCAGTGCCATCTCCACAAGGGCCCCTCTTAGCACATGCAAGAATGTTTTTGTGTATACTAGGTTCAGCAGCAGCAGCTCCTTGTACTGTATTGGAAGCAGTTTTAATTTATTATTTATTAATTACATTTATAACCTACCCTTCTCTATATGGTCCCTGGGAGGCGTTGATACATAACTGCACAAAACATTTTTTTAAAAAAAGAAGGTCTTTCTGAGCACCTCCGTTTTAAACCATTTCAAACTCCTTCAAAGGGCTGGACAAACATGAGTTTTGAATTTCCCCCCAGTTCCAAGGAAAAGTGCCGAGCAGTAAGGAATTGTATCCAGAAACTGGGGGGGGGGGGATAACTCAGCAGCTCACCATACAGCTCTCTGGATAGACAACCAAATACTAAAAACATAATAAGCAATTATTTATTCCAAAGAAGCAGATATAGTATTCTGCTGTTAACTTCTTAAAAAATGGTGCGAAGGTACGCTATGTTGCACAGCCTTGAAGACAATTTTTATGAGTGTTCATGACACAACTGCTAAGACAATGCCCTACCTGATCACACACCAATTATTTACACAAGGAATTAAGGAACACACTATATTAATTTTCCTTTGTGTATCTTCAGAAAGAGTGACTCATTCACCCAATCCAGAAGTTCTATGAATTTTGCAGAACTCCTCCATATAGTGGAGCCCTGAGGGGTGCAAAGTTTCTTCCATTCTCTTCCGTGTCGCTGATGGCTCCATATGCAAGAGTAGCCTCCACTTCTAATCTATACAATTTCCTGGTTGAAGAGCTTTTCCTCACCTCACCTTTAGTTTTGCAATCTGGAGCCATAGCCGTTATGTGTAAAACAGCCAGCAGGACAATCTTAGTCATGCTTACCTTTAAATAAGTCCCAAATAAATAGACAGGACTTGCTCCCAGCAAACATGTCTGAAACTAGAGCATTAACAGCTTAAGCACTAGCTCATATAGCTTCATGCTGAGCTGCAAATGAGACACTGGAATCCACTGCTGTGCTGCAATTGTTACGATACAGAAACAATGAACCTTGGGATCCAAGATGCTCTAACCAAGAACTCAAGAAGCAAGTTAACTGGAGTGGAGGGAAATAAACGTTCTAAAGTGTTCCTTATCAGCACAGTTATATGCCTGCTGATTTGCTATCTGTAACCAAAATCTAGTGGCTGGAAGGGCAAGCAAAATGTTCCGCATGAAAAAAATACATCTGTTTTGGAGGCTCAAAGTATTTCCTGAAAGACCCCAGAAAAAGATGGTTGTTCCTGTTCATTTCACCACCCGAATCAGCTATAGCTTCAGTGTTGATTAAAATAAATTGAACTCCTCCTTCCTGTTAACAGCAATGCTGTCAGGTAGCTGGTAAGATTTGGCTGAGAGATGGTGGTTGATTTTTAGCCAGCAACAAGTAATGTGGAACTGCAGCTGCAGAGACTGCATGCAAGAGCGCCACCTTGTTAGCAGAAGGGGAGCCCCGCAGGAGTGTCTTATAATAAATAATAATAATAATGTCGGTGGCTGTTTTAATTTATTTACCTACCCTACACCTTAAGTTCCCAAGGAGGGTTGCCACAATTTAAAAATACGACATTAAAACCAGTTTAAAACAACTTACTATCACAAAATAGGATGCATCCTTAAGGTATACATCTCAGGGTTATGTTTTAGAGGCCAGGGTAAAGAGAGCATTCAATGAGAAGGGCCATTCAATAGTGAAGGTGCCAAATGAAGGTTCCACTACTTAGGTGCTGCCACAGAGAATGTCCTCATGCAGGCCACCACCATGAACTTCTGAATGCAATGGTCCTACCAAGAAAGCCCCCTCTGCTGATCTTAGCACCTGAGAGGGCCTTAGGGAAACAGATGGTCTTTCCAAAATTTGGCACCTGAGTTATTTAGGGTTTCAAACATTAATGTGAACACCTTGAATTCGCCCTGGAAACAAGCTGGCAACCAATGCTCCTGCTTTAAAACAGAGGTTATGAGAGATCTAAACGAAACCCCAGAAAGTAACGTGGCCATTGCATTTTGGACACAGCAGGAGCAGGATTTTAGTCGCTGCACATTTCCTGGGTCTTCTCTCTCCCACAAAATTGTTAAAATCTTGCTCTGGGCACTCGTGTACCCAATTCATCCTGGCCTGGCCTTTTTCTCTATGCACAAAAGGTGCACAGTGGGAAACGGGTGCCACTCGTGTGCCACTGGAGGTCCCACCACAAACATTTTAGACTCCTTTTGCACAGCCCCAAGCCACCACAAGGGGGACACGTTGTACCTGGTGGGCGGGGAATTCATAGCAAAATGTACCCTATCTCATTGAACCTAGCCTTGGAGAAGCCCAACAACCTGTTCTCAGACTGGCAGGGTACTGAAAAGGCATGGAAATGTTTGGCAATGTCTGGCTCTCCAAATCTAAAATGGAACAAGAGGGGCCTAAAAATCTTGTTCTGGCCACTCCAGAGCATCTACATGACTCTTCTTGCCCTTCCCTTTTCCTCTATACCTTCAATTTACTCTTAAAAATGTCAACGTCTCTGTAAACTGGACTCTTTGAAGAGGAATTTGTTATGCGTACCAGGCAAACAGATTTGACAGGATTCTTCCCCCCACACACACCTTTAAATGGAAGGGAGTAGAAGGCCACTCTCCCTCCAGTGATTCTTACTGCTAACCATCTTAAAACTAAATTCAGCCGCTATATATTTCATCCGCTTGTTTAAATAGCTCATTCCCTCTAAACCTATTTCGATGCTTCTAAATCCCCAAGGCAGGGGGAGTCAAATCCAAGGGCATATAAAAAATGCCACAGGGTAATAAAAGCAAAAACACAACTCAGTCTGAAATATTATCGCAATGCAATCACTGGCGCTCTCGTTGTACTTTATTAATTCAGTACTGTCAGGAGTGGTACTCGTTTGCAAATATTTCTTCACAGATTGACTTGCTTTAAAGTAAGAAAGGAATTTAAAAATGAATTAGATGCATCATTATCCTGGTAGAAGAGGCTGTGGTTTTTATGCTTTGGCTGCAAGCATTCGTGCCAGTTTTACCAAATTTTTGCACAATCCTAATTGCATTTACTCAGAAACAAGACCCACTGTTGTCAGTAGAAGCTGCATCCAAGTAAGATGCTTAGAACTGCAGTCAACACAGATACAGTTCTTAAATTGCCTTCTCTTCCAAGCATGTGAAATTTGTATAGTCCTTGAACAAGGCTGAAATGTTCTCACAAGGTCTTGAAATTCCAGTACCCTTGGTGCCCTGCAATAAACTGAAAGCAGACAGCTATGCTGGGACACAGGCAAGAATCCTGTCACGTGATTGGCTATGAACTAGAAGATCTAATTTTAGAGCTAGTCCACAGCTACGGTGTGTCCCTTTAAGCTTTTTAAAGTCAAGTAGCTTCAAACTCAGGGATGAAAATTCAACAGGTGCCCTTTAACTCTGCCGCATCTCAGGAGGAGCTGAGTTAAATGAATCTTTCAGTCTTGGATCCTGTGTATATTTACTCAGAATTAGTCCCAGTGAATCCAAGGAGACTTAATTCTAAATGCAAGCACACAGAATTGCAGCCAAGCGGTCCAATCATGTCCACATTTACCCGGAAGAACGACAATTTGTGTTGACTGGGGTAGTGTCCTTATTGTTACCTGTGAAGTCAGCATAGGACAACCTTTGCTGCTCAAATATTCTGCCAAAGCACAGCTGGAACATATAAATTGTTGTATTTTATTATGAAATGTGGAGTTTCTTCCCCATGCCAACCGTATGCCCAAATATATGATTCACATATATTTCATGACAAAATATTTGACAAACTGACTTAGGTAAGCTACTAAAATTATGTACTACATTTCAATATAGCACAATTTTTATAAGAAAGAGGGCCATTCTGGCCTGTAGTATGAGTACCATTATGTTAACTGTGGAAAAAGAGTCCCAGCTTTTAAAGGCTTTCCAAAGAAATTGACAATTTCCAAAAGGTTTCCACTAAAACTGCAGGGGGGGGGAGAATATCATACAGAAATAGCCACATGAAAAATATAATTCTGACCGAGTATAAGCTTTTAGGGACTTGCACCCTTGTTTGCAAGTTCTGCAACACTTGAAGAACACAGAACAAGGGTATCTTCTGGATCTCGTGCTGAGCTTTAGAATCAGTGAGACTCCATACTGCTTCCCATAGTCAGTGTGCTGTCTGAAAGTTTCTCTCTGTTCTTCCAAACTTTGACAATGCCTGGGGAATCCCCTGACCTTGTGCTTAGCCTTGGGAAGCAGAAATAGAAGCACTGGCAAGGTCACAGTCCCTACAAATTTAATGTGATGAGGACAAATCCCTGAACGGTTGCACTGGGCTTCAAGAGGTGCTCCGGCTCCTCTGAAACTCAAGAGCAGCACTGCAGCGAAGACCTCCGTGCTCCCACTTTATGGAGAGCAAGGGTCAACAGCAAGCAAAAAATTCTGGCTGGCTCTTGAAGCTAGTCAATATTTGTGAACAGTGCTAGAGTCATCAGAGAGAGTCAGGTGCAGGCCTTGCCAATGTCCCTGATAGCAGGCTCACATAAGATATTTTGAACTTTCCAAAGGAAGTGAAAGATAACAAGTATAGAATGTTTTTTTGGGGGGAGAGATAAATCTCTGCATTGTTTACAAAAGCCACAACCTTTCCTTCGTGCAAACAGGTAGCCGCTGCAGTACTGAGACTCCTCCAGTTTGCCTGCATTTACTTCCAATCAGGTCCTATAACATGAGGCAGAAGTAGCTGCATCAACGCCACCCAGAGAGGGGGGGGGAGAGGGAGAAAGAAAGAAAGAAAGAAAGAAAGAAAGAAAGAAAGAAAGAAAGAAAGAAAGAGCCAGCATGCCTACCTTCTGGTTCTGTGGGCCATCACTATCGTCAAAGATGCCATCTTCTTGCTGGTCATAATCAGGACCTCCCAGAAGCCGTATTCGCTTTTCGCACTGCTTTTTTGCTACTGTTAGCTGGTTAATATACCTCTTCATGTTCCGGGCTCTCAGATGGTCAGCTTTCATTGCAGCCGTCTCTTTACCTTTACTCTCTATCAAAAACAATTGTTAAAAATTTAACTTTTTAAAATTTAACTTAAAAAGGTCAGCATGTAATGAATTTTGAAGAATAGACCCATATAGCAGTCTTGACTTCAAAACACACACACACACACACACACACAAAACTAGACCTTGTAGTAAAAGTAAGGATTGGCTCCTGAACGTCAAAAACCCAGAAGTAGGTGTTACGGTTTTCGAACGTTTTTCAGAAGCCGAACGTCTGATGCGGCTGTTGGCTATTGCTTCCAGGGCTCCTGCACCAATTGGAAGCTGTGCCTCGGTTTTCGAACATTTCAGAAGTTGAACAGATTTCCGGAACGGATTATGTTCGAGAACCAAGGTACCACTGTATAATCAAATTTAACCTAGGTAACAAAGCTATTAATTATAAGTTTGCCAACTATTATTGATCTTGGTGGATGAAAACATGCCTCAAGCATTCAGATCAGTTCTGGCGGCCATGAACGGATGGGAGAGTTATCCTATTTTTATAATACAACAGTTCTGATCAACCAGGAAACCATTTGAGCAGGTTTTAATTGTTCTTTGAGGCAAAATTCAGGAAGTCTCTTTGTCCTACAGTTTAAATTTTGTTTATACAAATGTCTAAAAATATGCAGATGAACTTTCAGAACAACCAGTGACACATGTGTTTTAAGATGAAAGAAAACAGGTGTTTCCTTCACGGAGCCTAACATGGTTCTCAAGGCAAGTTTTGCTCCATTTAGCTCAGTAACAGAACAGAGTATTAATTGAATATATTTAAATAAACCCTCTGTTAACTACAAGAAAGAGATTACAAAATTAGCAAAAGAATATAAATGCCTGATCACAACCAGAACAAAAAAAAATCTGCATTTGCGGAAACACATCTGCCATAATAAAAAGTGAACCACTGCAAAGCACTAATTACAGAATAGTAAATGATGCATTAATTAGCCTCCTTTATATGCTTCAGGTACTTTACGTACATTAGGAGCTCTCCTCGGGCACACAAGAGGTGCTTCTCGCAAAATGACTGCTAAACAACTTCAAGTCCATGAGATACAAGTTACAAATACAGTGGTACTGAAGCCTTGGAAGTCAAACGGAATCCGTTCTGGAAGTCCGTTCAACTTCCAAAACGGTTTGTAAACCAAGGTGCGGGCTTCCGATTGGCTGCAGGAAGCTCTGGCAGCCAATCAGAAGCCACGGAAGTCCCGTCAGATGTTCGGCTTCCAAAAATAGTTTGCAAACCGGAACAGTCACTTCCAGATCTGCAACATTCGGGAGCCAAAATGTTCAAGAACTAAGCTGTTCGAAAACCAAGGGAATGTACATGGTTTATCTCTCTCTCTCTCTCTCTCTCGCCAAGACATTTTGCTGCCTGAGGTGAAGGGGAAGGTGGCAGTTCACATACAGATGTCAAATACAGTAGCAACTTAATCTGAGACAAAAGTCTAGTTTAGGGGGTCCAGGACAGGTTATATGGCGCACACAGTTCTCATGTTATTCTGCCTGGCGCAGAATATTCTGCCTGGCACATCCTCACAACAACCTGTAAGGCTGGGACAGAAAATAACTGGCCCAAGATCAGCCAGTTAACTTTATATTCAAGATTTGAGCCTAGGCCTTCCCAGTTCTATGGCTTGTCCATAAATGTGGAATCACACCAGCCTGCCTTCCCCATAAAAGTAGAGGCGTCCTGTTATTATGGAGCTTTCCCTCTTTAAATAATCAAATCAAATACCCAAATCACAAAAAACTCTGCATGTAAAGTGGAAAAGGCGCTGGACAACTGTGGACAAGTCCCTACAACACTGCCTAAAAAAACAACAACCTAAAAGCCTTTCTCCTCCAAACATTAAAAATGAATGAAAGAGAAAAACCTTGATACTGTGCCCAAGATGCAAAAAATAAATTCAAACCATAGTGTTTGGAATTCACAAGTTATTGTTTGCTTTTTATTTATCTATTGCTTCCCACGAGGCATGCCCAAATGATTTACAATATAATACTTTTTGAGCTATTATAAATAATAATTTGAAATTTAAACACCTAAGCATTTCCCCCCTCAATCCCTTTGATCTATCCTCAAGGCATAGAATCAAGGTGGTTTGTTTTTTTCATAACAGCACATCCTAGCTAGAACCTTTTGGCCATAATACATCATTATTAGACAGCGGACTATAACTGAAAACCTCAAAATATTTTTTGAACAGCAACCATCAATAATATGATCTCCAATGTCAATCATAGTTTGTTTTGAAGGTTTTTAAGAACACTATAAAAAGTCACATTTTGGGAGCTGCACAAACTCTGCACTGCTATATCTGACAGAAAAGCTAGAAGTTAATTGCAACAGCATCTAATGAGAATCTGCAAGAAATTAAAACCCAAGGCATAAAATAAGTGCCGGTGAGAGTTAGGAAAGCTTTTCAAAATGATTTTTTCCTAGCAATGACTACTAAACTATTTTGCATCCCCACCTGCACTCTGAGAGAGTGGGTTTCTCAGTTTCTGGCATTCTGGTCTGACTACAGGGCTAAGGTCTTCCCAAAACTTGTATAAAACCTGAGTGCTATCTATCATCACACTCTTATAGGTAGAGAAGCCAAGACAATACTTTTTAAAAAAGAATCTTGCAGCACCGTTGAGGACTAACAAATTTATTACAGCATCAGCTTTCATGGATTCTAGTCCATGTCTTAATCACAGAATTCAAACATTTCGAACAGCCCCTATTCTACCGAGTATATTTACAAAACTAGATATATGCAACATTTTTTGTATTTTTTATTATGAATGTGTTTCTCATAGGTATAAATGCAAAAATGAAGAGTAGCATATTTATGCCTACTCAAAATACTAAAAAATTGAAATTCCTTCACCACCCACACCTAAACGATTAAGCTGTACAAATTGGTTCCTGTACACACAGAAGTGCACTTTTTCGCATCGACTTAAAAAGCTAGTACAAATTGTACCTACTTACACTGAAACATTCAAGTGGAAGAAACTGCGTAGCCTCCTACAATTACTGATTCAGAATCTCTTAAGCTCTGAGGGAGCAAGATCTTTTGAAGAAGAAATGACCCCAGGTGGAGTATTTGTCAAAATTTTGAAAGCGAAGGCTATTCTCATACAGAAAAGTACAACTAACAAGGATCTTTTTCTGGCCCATAACCAAGTGGGTAAAAGAACAAGTAATTCAAGACTGTGAATCAGATCTTCTCTTGAAAACACTTGGTTGGCTGAAATTTGAGAATACCACCTTCCCCTATGCCACCTTCCCATTCTTCCAAAAGTATCCAGTCTGCCACAAGTCCACAGCTAACTTTTTCCACAACAACTGAGTAGAAATGAGTATTCCATAAAGATTTTTTGCATTCTACAAAAATGCGCAAGGAAAGTCAAGAAACAGAATATACACAGATATCAAGATTTTGATCAATAAGCTTGACATTTAAACCACAGTTGTGACTCAAATGGGAAGCTGTGGTTTGAAGAGACAGAGATAAAGCCAACAAACAAAAGGCGGGTGTGTGGGTGGGTGTGGCTCCAGGATGCTTTTCCAGCTTAACAACATCCTAACAAATTCCATATCCCTTTGGTTCACCCTCAGCAGCCTCCACTATTGCCTGGTATCAATAAACTGGACAATCAAGGATATGGTAAACAAGTATCTGGGAAAATTCAAAATAAAATGTAATATTATTTATGTCTACTTTGAAGCAAGTCTCTGTGAGGTATAAAGAACTTATACAGAGTTGCAGCCTGCAATGCTGATCTTCAGAGACTTATTATTTTTTATTGAATTTATATACCTTCCATTTTTCCTTCTAAGCCAAATAGAACACTATAAAAATTAATACTATAAAAACTATAAAATTTACATACAGAATCAGAAGTGGTTTGAAAAATACACAGCTCTCAGTTGCTGCACTCCCCTGAACATGGGACAGTAGCACTATAAGCTCAGGGTCTGCCACAAAATGAAGTAATTATTTATTGATTTGATTTCCATACCGCCTTTCTCCTAAGGCACTCAAGATGGTTTACAATTTGAAACACTAAAACAAACACATTATATAAAACATAGAGTGGCAAAGTGATATAGGGCCAACTGGTAGCCAATGGTATGTGCCTGGGCTGCAGATACACTAAAAAAAACCACTATTGTTAGTTTGTTATATAAACTTTTAAAAAGTATTTTTCTTCTTTAGAAGACACAGGGAGTATTATTTCAACAGAAGCCCATAGTAATTTCACAGGATGATGGAAATTGGAGAGAGCTCCATTTTCTGTCAAGGAAGGAAGGGAGATGTGCAATCAATTCTAAAAGCTGCACGGAAGAGGCTTTGTGACACACATTCAGTGTTCTTTACAGCAAACTTTCTAATCATGCTGAGGGGGTACTTAAAAGGGACGTAATGAGAGAGATTAGTTGTCAGCTTGTCATCCTAATGGCCATTTGCTGCAAATGTCAAGCAAGCTGCTATGAAGAGAGAAACACTGACGCATTTTTGAGGTAAGGGATTCTTACCTGCAGCTCAGGGAGAGGGGATTTCGGAGGGGAAGGACATTCTAGTGGACCAAGTAGCAAAAAAAAAGCAACAACTTGGCTTGCAGCAACCCTTTTTTTTAATGAAGTAGTAGTAGTACAGTGGTACCTCAGGTTAAGTACTTAATTCGTTCCGGAGGTCCGTACTTAACCTGAAACTGTTCTTAACCTGAAGCACCACTTTAGCTAATGGGGCCTCCTGCTGCCGCCGCGCCGCCGGAGCACAATTTCTGTTCTCATCCTGAAGCAAAGTTCTTAACCTGAAGCACTATTTCTGGGTTAGCGGAGTCTGTAACCTGAAGCGTATGTAACCTGAAGCGTATGTAACCTGAGATACCACTGTACAGTCATACCTCGGCTCCCGAACGCCTTGGAAGTCAAAGGTTCCGGCTCCCGAATGATCAAAAACCAGAAGTGAGCATTCCAGTTTTCGAATGTTCTTTTGGAAGCCGAACGTCCGACGGGGCTTCCGCGGCTTCCGATTGGCTGCAGGAACTTCCTGCAGCCAATCAGAAGCCATGCTTTGGAAGTCAAACGTTTCGGAAGTCGAACGGACTTCCGGAACGTATTCTATTTGACTTCCGAAGTACGACTGTGGTTAAAATGTTATTAGCGACACTAAAAACATCCAAGGGCACCATTTGCTATCTCAGCAGAGATCTATTGAGTCTTTAATAGTTGTATTCCTGAATATGAATTCTAGAAACCTGATTCCTGGACCTGGAGAGCTTAACCACAGTGGTTTGAGTACTGGTGATTATAAGGGCTGGATTACTGCAATGCACTCTATGTGGTGCTTCCCTCGCACTTGGCCTCTAAAGTGCAGTTAAGTGCGGAATGCTGCAGTATAGTTGCTGGTACAATGAGCTTATAACACCTCTGCTCATTTGTTACCAGGTCATGGTCAAGGTGTTACTATTGGCATGTTTGTTCCGATTCAGTTGTAAACAATGTGTTTTCCCAGGAAAAGTGGCAGGGACAAACTCTGCATGGACCTGTGCCTACAAATCACAGCACAAATGGAAGTCTGCATGAGCCCAAGCCCAAACTGTTTGGACATGTATTTAAAAATCAATAACCCAGTGTATGCATTTTCTGCTTGCTAGCAGAAATGGATTCTTGTTGGGTACTATTTCTTTATTTTATTTAATGAAATGTATATACTGCTCAACTGCAATAAAACCTCTAAGTGGTTTGCAAGAAATATTAAAGCTATAGAAACCTTTAAACAAGAAATGGAAAAAAATAAAATACAGTTGTACCTTGGTTTTCGAACAGCTTAGTTCTCAAACGTTTTGGTTCCCGAACACCGCAAACCAGGAAATGAATGTTCCAGTTTGCAAACTATTTTTGGAAGCCAAACGACCGACGTGGCTTCTGGGGCTTCCGATTGGCTGCAGGAGCTTCCTGCAGCCAATCAGAAGCTGCACTTTGGTTTCTAAACGTTTCAGAAATCGAACGGATTTCCAGAACGGATTCTGTTCAACTTCCAAGGTACGACTGCCAAAGATAATTAAAATTAACAGTACAGTAAAAAGAGATTAAAATACATCAACATCTTGCCTACGCAAATGTTATAAACAAGTGCTGAAAACAGTACACTGAGGGTGCCTCGCTGATAGGCAGAGCTTAAAAGACTGATTTCTTATATGTACAAATTGAGTATTATGTGGGATTTGTAACAGTCCATGCCAATTCCACAGATCAAAGCAGCTGAGTGGGCACATATGGGATAAGACGATACTGCAAGTAAACAGTGGGTTTTCCGAGGGAAAGTGGCGGGACAAAAGAAAAACGTTCGGACCCATGCCTGGAAATCATGGATCTTAGCCTACAAATCACAGCACAAACAGAAGTCTCATGCCTATTGTGTATCCTCACCACTCAGTATCTTATGAAATGGTCTTTCCAGTAAATGAATATATTCATAAATATCTTGCTCTTTGCAAAGGGAAGTTAACAACAAATACTGTTTATATTTTGCCTTTAGTACTATTTCAACATTAGGCTTTTTATGCAATAAATAACCTATTTCAAGTAACCCATTTCAAAGCATGCCTTTAGAAACAGGAACAGAACAAAGATAACTAGAGTATGTAACAAAAATGGAACAGAAAATTATGCACTTAAAATGAAACTGAAGTAAAATGAAGCACGTCAGAAATCCACATAAGGGCACACAAAAACATTCAAATGATTTTGGGGGATGAGCATGCTATTCTGGGATTCTCACCATGCCATTTATTTATCATTATTCATTAATCTTCTATTATGTTATTTATTTGCCAGTAGTGATGTTGGCAGCGCATTGTGCTTATCACAATGGATTGCCAGAGGGCAAAACCCCACAACATAATAGTCTGCCCTTTCGTCCCCAAATAACTAAAGTGGACAGATGTGAGAAGTGAACCAAAAAGCAAGTAAAATGTACCAGTCTTGAACAAAGGAACAGTCATCTCAGTAAAATAAAAATGATGTACGTGAAGCAAAACTGAAATGGATCAACCAACATTTAGAATGCTGGAAAAGTTTTGAAAGTGGTTCCATTGTTGTTGTAGAAAGCTGAAGGCTAAGAGAGGCATGTTTTCAACCAGCCTTCATTTTTCATCAAATGAAAATACTTTGCTTAGACTCTCTCTGCATGTAGACAAATTTGGCATCAAAACAAAAATGGCCATATCCTAGGATGATATACATCATTTCAAGATGGTAAAAGAGGGCATGCAATATTACAGAGTGGTACCCCCCTCACATTTCGCAATGTAGCCTCCCCGCTATGTTTGCTTTCCTTATAAACAAAGTAAGAACAGTATTCTCATTTTACAGATGGAATAGCTCAGTTGGTACAGCATGAAACTCTTAATCTCAGATGGCCATGTAAAGAATTAGTTATATGTTTTCTAGTTTTAAACACCTCCCAAAAAGACGCAACTTACCTTTTTGCCTTTTCAACTGTGGAAAGCTGCCGATAGTGGTTGCTTGAACTATTTCCACTAAAATCTGATACCTAGTTACAAAGAGAAGAATACAATCAGATCTTTTTGGCTTCGTGGCTAATAGTACCTATAAGGAACAATGAAAGGAAAGATTTTTGAGTGAGGAGTGGAAGGGCTGAGCAGAGTTTTTGGTTTTATGCAGTATAGAGGATAGGACAATTTGGATTGGTTTAATGTTTACACTGACATCTCTACAGTGGTACCTTGGGTTAAGAACTTAATTAGTTCTGGAGGTCCATTCTTAACCTGAAACTGTTCTTAACCTGGGGTACCACTTTAGCTAATGGGGCTTCCTGCTGCCACTGCGCCACCGCTGCGCGATTTCTGTTCTCAGCCTGAAGCAAAGTTCTTAACCTGAGGTACTATTTCTGGGTTAGCGGAGTCTGTAACCTGAAGCGTCTGTAACCCAAGGTACCACTGTACTTCCAAAATTTAACATGCATCCCTCAGAACTTATTATCACTATAACGGATTATAACAGTTATAACTCTCAGGGCTGTCAGACTGTAACAGTTTTCAGAATATTTTTGTTGTCATGTATACAATAATTAAAGGATTAAAAATATTACTAAGACCAGAAATCGTATGTTATCTAAATGTGTGGCTTACAGAAAGACTATAATCTTGCAATTTTTATTCCTGCCCCTCAGCTGAGTAGTTTAAGGAAGACGCCCCCCACCCCCGGCTCATGCAAGCCAGAGGAAGGGGGGGGGTGATCAACTGAGGGGCATGGGAAGCTGCCCACCCCTCAGCTGATCAAGTTCCCATACTGCATGAGCCAGTGCCGTATGGGGCTGAGTGATGTATCTCATCTGCTTCTGAAGAAGAAGCCGAGATACATTTCACACATCGTGATATATCAGTAAATTGCAGTATTTAGCTGCTGATATATCACGATGTTAAAATCCAGATATTGCCCAGCCCTGGCTTATATATCTGAGCCTCCCCCTTGGTTGGAGCAATGAGAGAAGAGGATGGAGCCTTCAGCTGCTGGGGAAGGACTCAGGGGAGGAGCAGGGACCTTCAGTCCTCGCAACTGATTCATTCGGTCAAGACCTACTGGGAAGGGTTGTGGTGACCATTAGGACAGAGCTGTTTTGTTTCTTTCAATAAACAGTTAACTTCACTGACATCGAGTGCTTTATTGTTGACCTACGCCTGCCTCCAGCTCCTGTCAAGGGTGAAATGGGGGGGGGGCCAACAATATGCACAGAGAAAGAAATAAGGCCATGCATGCAATCTGACTCCTGTGAGCAGCCTCAGGAACTCTATAAGCCATCTGGATTGGCCATGCCTGGTATAAATCCTATGATTGTGGCCTATTCCTGTGAGTTCAATAAAGCAAAAACACCTGCCTCCTGAAACACCAGGCTGGAGAATATGCACTTTGGATATGGGTCATAGTATAGCTATTCATGGCCTCAATTACCTGCATGCCATAAATACTAACTAGAACATGCCTGTTCTCTCTCTGATACAGACTTTGCCCCCAATTCAAGGAATGCCAATGGACCTATTTTGTGTCGACTTTCCTATAAACAAACATGGAATTACCTTAGTTGTTTGAGGAACTCAACATCCGAGTTGCTGTTAATAAGCTTGATGAACTCTTCGTAAGAAGGAGCATATGTGTAGGCTCTTTTGTGATGCTCGTTCACCTGTTCCCGGTACTCCATCTGGACAAGCAACATTTGGTTGATGTAGTTGGGATCACTCAGGAGCTCTACCATGGGTTTCAGTACTAAAGTTTTAAAAAAGAAGAACGCGGCACATATGTAATGCTGAAGACATCTTCATCAAGGAAAAAAAACCCTGTACATTTTGCACTAAATAATATTAGCCTGAATTTATGGATACAAATGAACCACTTCTAAATGCTGGTGTTACGTTTATTTCAAAAATTCTTAACAGCTTGATCTTATTTACTTGGACACAAATTCCAGTGCCCAGTGGGAAAACTGTTCCCAAGAAGTGTGCATCCCATTGTAGCCTTAAAGAACTTTTCCTAAAAATAGCTGGAGGTGACACACAACCTTAGAAGTTTATAATCACAGGAGTTTGGAAATTCAGTCTGTTAAAATACTGCTGCTTCATGCTTGTGAAGTATTTCCTAGAACCCTGAAAAGAATTAGGAGAGCAAGCTTTAAATCTTTAATTCAATCCATTATAGCTGTAGTTGACTGATCAGTAAGGGCAAATTTTAGATCAGAAGAGCTGCAAATTAAGAGAATACTGGTTTTTTGGGGACTCTTTTGGATTGATGCTTATCCTGACACCATGGAGAGCTCCTGACAGTCAGACCACTGGTCTTCAACTAGTGGGTTGGGCCTGATCCAATGTGGGTCACAACAGGAGCACTACCACCATGCAAATATATGGTAAAATATTAAGAAATAAGTTCCCAAATGCATGCTTGTGTTAAAAGTAGAACCTAGATCTGAAAGTTTAGATAGCTGCCATAGACAATATTGGCCAAAATGAACCAATGGTATAAGACAGCTTCCTTTGTTCCTATGAGTAAAAGAACGAAAACAAAAATATAAAAATTTGCCTCTTTTTCTAAGAATTAATGGTGGTTTTTATTTATTGTTGTAAATCACATAAATTTGTTTAATGTCTCAAAGAGACAGTTATACTGAGGTTTCAGTAATATACTGAATATACAGTGGTACCACTAGTTACAAACTTAATTCATTCCGGAGGTCCGTTCTTAGCTTGAAACTGTTCTTAACTAGAGGCGTGCTTTTGCTAATGGGGCCTCTTGCTGCCACTGTGCCACTGGCACACGATTTCCATATTCATCCTGGAGCAAAGTTCTCAACTCGAGGTAACTCTTCCAGGTTAGCGGAGTTTGTAACCTGAAGCGTTTGTAACCTGAGGCAGTTGTAACTCGAGGTACCACTGTACCATGTTTTTATATATGCTGGAAACCACCCAGAGTGGCTGGGGCAACCCAGTCAGACGGACGGGGTACAAATAAATTTATTATTATTATTATTATTATTATTATTATTATTATTATTATTATTATTTACAAATATAATCATTGAAAGGGTAGGTGATTAACCAACTAATCAGGGTTGGTTACCTGATTAGGGTAAGCTGACAGCCCTACTTAAAATGAAGTCACCTTTATTTCCAAATGAAATAGGCATTCCCATTTACGAGTTCCAGAAAAAATGCCATATTAGATTGTAGCAGCAAAAATCCTGCGACGCCCTGGAGACTGACAAGTTTATTGTGTTACAGGGCTTCGTATGCAACATCCATCTCATGCACCTGATGAGTCAGGCTGCCTTCAGTCTAATTGTATGCCTGCCCTCATTTCATGAAAGCCTTCACTCTGGTACACATCAAGAAAAACGTGCAGATTTTTCAGTGGCTCAAATCTGTAGATCCAAAGAGAGATCTCCTGGGCTCCTCTAAAAAGCTATCAGAACAAGCAAGATGCAATAAAGTCAACGCATGCACAAGAAGGGTTGCCAAAGCGGCTCCCACAGGTTCCTCTCCCCTCACTACAACCAGGCTTCAAAAAAACATCCCATTGTAGCCAAGGGTGTTGTGATGCTTGCCGAGTCGCAGGACAGCTATACCTAGGCTCCCAAAAGCCTTGGGGGTCGAATGTTCTGGCTCCTGAACGATTGAAAACCGGAATTGAGTGTTCCGGTTTTTGAACATTCTTTCGGAAGCCGAACATCTGACGGGGCTTCCGATTGGCTGCAGCAGCTTCCTGCAGCCAATCATAAGCCGTGCTTTGGTTTCGGAAGTCGAAATCTGTTTTAACTTTGCTATGTTTTGACATATGGATGTGAATTTTTCTTGATTTTCTTGCTTTGTTTTTTTGGTGAACTGCTTTGAGGTTTCTTAAGACTCAAGTGGTGTATAAATTTTATGAAATAAATAAAATAAATAAAATGTGCAGGCTGATTTTCTAATCGTGACCAAACGCTTGACCTGACCTATAATTACCTTTTGATGCAAGTATTTCTGCAAGGACTATGCGCAAGCTCAGCGACCGGGCATCCTTTGAGGGCAGAAGACAATACACCAAAATTTGAGAACATGCTTGCAGGAATCTTGCTTCTTCATCAGAGTTCCTCAAACACGGATGCAATAAAAATGGCCGTGGCTGCTCTTCCAGTCTAAAGAGGAGCAGCAGAAAGTTAATCATCCTCTAGTCATCACTGCTTGAAGATCCATAAAAGAAGAAAGCCAGCTACCTATAAAAACCACTGCCTTTGTTGAATGTTACATGCAATGTATTTATTTATTTTTTTAGTTACAGTATGACTTAGTTGTACATTTCCACACAGCAAGCCCCTCCCTTCTTCCTTATTCGTTATAGAAAGAAAAGGAAAACAGCAATTTAAATCACCTGGGCTTTGCAATGTTAAAAAAGTTATGAACATTTCTGAATTTCTTAAACACACACACACACCCTGTGGTTTCACAACACTATGCCATGGTGAGGTTTAGTAGTTTTGGGGACAAGGTTTATGGGGACAAGCATCAGATCTCACATCCCTGTGTTCCCTCCTCTAACATGTCTGTGGAGGAATTTGAAAGGCTTCACTTCAGCTTTATGCTATCTATTGCTTTGAATAAACCAGATAAACTTTAAAAAGCTCAATGAATTGGTTTAAACAAACATTTGCAAATGTATTTTTCAACAGCTCCAATGTCTATTTTACAGAATTTCCATACAAAGCATTTATCAACAGAACATTGAATGATTTTCATTTTGGTCCATCTTGTTATTGAAAAGCCGTCAGCTTGCAAGGGAGCTTGCAATTGTCAGTTTGAGGTCTGCTTTGCAATGCCGTAGAAAAAGGCCCAGACCAGGGCTTCATTTCCATTTCCAATCAGCCAGTAAAATACTTCCAGCGTATGCTTGCATAAGAGGGCCAGAATGCAAACATGTACTGGATAAGTTTATCTTAGCAGGTGTTTGAAAATCCTTGACGCAGCTCTTGCAATAAAATGCATGCAAGAAAGTATTCCATAAAGCTCTAGCATTTTCAGGCAGCAGGTAATAAGTAAAAGGAGACACCTACCCGGCACAAAGTACAGCATTCACAACAAAGACAGAACAAAATCAAACATCACCTAAAATAAAAATCATTTACATTTCATGAAACACACCCAGCCCAGTTGAGATGCAACACCAAACCATGGTTTAAATCCAGTTTATTAGGAAAAGCAGACCTAAGTCCTGGGTTCACACACTTCCCCTCTGTCTCAGTCTTTGATGCGTGAAGGGAAGAATTTCCAAGTTTCTATTTGCAGTTCAAAACAACCTGCAGTCCTTATTCAAAGGAAAGCTATAGTTTGTGCAAACCACAGTTAGATCAAACTGTAGGGTAAAAGACATTGAATTATACATTCAGTTTCCTTTCCCCTAAATAAGCCCTGATAGTTAAAGAAAGCTGTCGGTTCTCTGTGCCCACCCACCCACAGTTGTTTTCATAGCAAAAAGAAAGTGAGACCATGTAACTTCCCAATCACTGGGACAATCAGTAGGGTAGGAACTGAGCTCAGGAAAAGCACAGTGTAGGGGACACTTAGTCCAAACCCCTGACAAATTATTCAGAGCCAGCTAAGCATTCTCAATCAACCAAGGCTTTCAAGCCAGACTCTGCAAATTGCTCTGACTTTGCACATTACACTCCATTGTCAAAAATATATTTCCTGAATGCACAAGGACAGCCTTGCAACCTCGGGCCACCATGGCTTGGAAAGAAGGATGGTGGGGCCATTTTGATACCTTTGTCCAGTTTTGCAAAGGAAATAGGTCTCTCACCATTGGCTGAGAGAATCATGCTGAGAGTGGCATTTTAAAAGGCATTATACACCAAAAATCTGTTTAGAAAGTAGGGTAATTGATCAAGGTGTGCAAGTGAGAGTCTTTTGCAAGGAAACCTGAGACCACATTCATGTTAGCCTCTTATTAACTCTAATTGCAACTTAAAAAAAAAAAAAATCCTGAAAGCATTCTGGTTCTTCATCATCTTGACAGTGTAAAGGGGCTCCCTAACAGGCAGGAGATAAATCTGAAAGATGTTTATGCAGCAGTAAATCTAAAAAGACATTTTTCACTGGACTGGACTGTATATCTACCAGGGCTTCCACACAAGTCTGCAGCAAACTGCTAAGTAATTCACAAGGGAGCAGAAGTGGCTGTACATCTCTTTATCTGCATTGCCTCCGCTTCTTAAGAGATTGGCAGAATTAAAGCAAGTTTGATCTGCTAGAACCCTTTTCCGGAAAAAAAGGTATAATTTAGGGCACTGGCAAGAGACTATCTAGCTACCAAGTCAGATATTTCAGCTTTTATTTCTTAATTGCTTTAATATTTCCGGCTGGCCTTGAGACTGCTATTTGCAAAGAAAAACCTTCTCATATTTCCCATGTCCGCCACATGCATTAAAATGACTACTGGAAAAGCTATTAACAAAAGAAGAGAAAGAAAATGGCAACGACAGTAGTTTTACCTATCCTTCAACCTAGTTTGCAAGGTATGTTTGTTCTCTGCATTTTCCTGCAGCAGTAGTAGTAATAATAATTTATTATTTATATCCCGTCCATCTGGCTGGGTTTACCCAGCCACTCTGGGCGGCTTCCACAAGATATTAAAATACAGTACTTTACCAGGCTATCAACAGTTAGTTAGCAACTGCAAGTGATCCCTCCTGAGACTGTAAGCAAGAGCAAAGAGTGTGTCCAAGTCACATAAGCTATAATGAATGTGCAACTGGAACAAACTCATGTCTTGATTCGTTACCTGAGCCTGTCAGAAAGTTAAAACTAACTGCAATTCAACAAAGTGAGTGGCAAGTGTTAGGTTCTCACAGGTAAAACCGGGAACCATGGCAGGCAGAATCAGACTGGCAAGCCAGATGTTCCCCACCACTGCACTAAAAGTTTGCATGGATTTTAAAACACAGTGAAATCCTGTTAAGTCTCCATGTTTTAATTCCCAAGTGGGCATTCAATTGTAAATATCTAAAAGAGCACATATGTAATATTACTGTGCTATACTGGTATCCCAGCAAGAAAACTTATAGCAGCTGTCCCATTTTTAAACACAGAACATCCTTAAGAAGTAGGTTATGCAAAAGAAACATCTAGTGCCTACTTTGGTGTCCTTTTTATTTGTGCATGCTACAGTTTTAGTCCTGCTGGTCCTTTTTACCTGGTTTTGTTTTATTTATATTTTAATTGGGTTTTTAAATTTGCATTTTCCTCTTATGTGAAGCACTCTGGGAATTCATACTGAAGGCTGGAATAAAAATAGGTCAAGGAGCTTTCTTTCTCTGCTAGAGAAAGCCACATAGCAACCTGGTTCTTAATCTATTGCATCAAGAGCATCTCCAAGATAAACAAACAACTGGCCAGCAAGGTCATGCAGTGAGCTTCAATGCCACATGGAGATCTGCCGCATCCCAAGGACTCACATATACCAACTACACAGCTATTAACTGGCCACATTCAATGTGCGACAGGTGTGTGTGTGGGGGGGAATACACAGCTGTGTTTCAAAGAATGTAGCTCAAGGGATTCCAAGCAGTCGCCTAGCTAGCCCATGGGTCCACCCACACAAATATACTTTAATTTGGGTTGTGTGTTTTTTAAAGATGCTGCTGCTGCTTCCCTGTTTGTTGTGGTTTCTGTTAATCACCTTTGCCAACTAGGTACTGCCAATGACAAGGCCAACCCAAAAAAAAAACACGAACTACAAGAACAAAGAGGAAATTCCCTTTGCAAGAACATCAGCTTTCACAATATACTTCCCATGCCTATGTAGTGAACACACCCAAGTCAAAGGGATTCAGTTCCTAGTGCAAGAGAAGTGGACAACAAATATACAACTGCAATCCATGTCTGATAACACATCAGTAGCATTATTCTCTCTTTAAATACATACATACATACATACATACATACATACATACATACTCAAGCCAAGTTTTGCTTTCTGGCAACCTCCATAGCCCATCTTTAACTGAGATCAAAAAGGTCTTAAATGACCCCACCCCAAATGCTGAATAATAATAATAACAATAATAACAATAATTTATTATGTATACCCCACCCATCTGGCCGGGTCTCCCCAGCCTCTCTCGGTGGCTCCCAACAGAATAATTGGCAACGTTTATCATTTTTAATACAGGACAGAAAACATTTATGAATTTGGCCACAATTCTAACCTTGATGGGAACAATGCCTTGCCATGCACGCAGCATAGAAGGTAACATATGCAACAAAACAATAGAAATTCATTATATATTTAGGTAGGAAAAGGAGGGTCCATATGCCTGCCAGAAAAGTAGGATCAGGCCTACACTTCCGATTGCCTTTCTGCTACTGACCAGGGCCTGTTCAGCTCAGTAGACTAGACACAGGCCAACCACAATGTATGAGGGAGCAAGCGGCATATATAGTCTCTGAGAGGTTTGACTTGTATTGTGACATACATGCCAAAAAAAGCTAGTTATCATTGCTGTTTATCGTTGTTTCTGTTGGTGTTGCCTCAAAGAAGGCTTCACTATTCTTCTTCATCATCACCATCATCATTTGTACCGTAGATTATGGTGTATAAGACGACTTTTTAACCCCGGAAAGGAGGTTAAAAAGTCGGGGGTCGTCTTATACGCCGGGTACAGGCAGCGGGCTCCGCGCCGCGAGAGAGAGAGCTGCCCGGCATGGAGCGCAGCCCACTGCTGCAGGCTCCACCGGGAGAAAGCAGCCCGGCGCGGAGCCCCCCCCCCCCCGCTGCTTCGGAAGCAGCAGCAGCCGGTGGCGGGCTCTGCTCCATGCCAGGTGGCTTTCTCCCGGCGCGGAGCTGCCCAGTGTATTAAGCGACTGGGCTTATAAGACAAACCCCCAAATTGCAGCTGCCAATTTGGGGGGTCTTCTAATATGCCCAGTCGCCTAATACGCCGGAATCTACGGTATTTATAGCCCATCTTTTTCTATAAGCAGCTCGAAGTGGTTCCCTCTCCTTGTTTAACCCCCACAACAACCTTGTGAGGAAGGTTAGGCTGAGAGGCAGTGACCGGCCCAAGGCCACCCAGTGAGCTGCACGGCCGAGTGGGGTTTGAACCCTGGTATCCCAGGTCCTGGTCCAGCACTTTAACCACTACACCACACGGTTCAAACACAAGCAAAAGGGGAAGGGGAGAATAGCTAAACTAAAATGGAATAAGGGTGTTGTTGGGAATATGTTTTTACCTGGAACTGGCTGCTTTAAGGTCACAAAAGTGGGTTAACAAAGCTTTCACTACATCGCTGCAGACGACTTTAACTACATCAATGTGACTGAGCCTCTGTCGCAGCTGCTTGGCAACTTCCCAGAAGTCTTCAGATAGCAGGTGGTACAGCTGTCCCTCGTCTCTGCTGAGGTGACCATACCAAGATAAAATGTAATCTCTGTAGCTGTAGTCAAACACTGAAACCAAAGCAACACCAAAGATGAAGCAGAATTCAGTCAGGAGCCATGGGGAAGTTGGGGGGGGGGAGTACTGTTATGAACAATTGGTGCTTGAAAACATTGGCTGCTTGCACCTTCAGTGTATTGCATTCTCCCACCTTTCAAAAAATAAGAAAGGGGTGATATAAGAAAAAACGGCCTTGAAAAAGCTTGCTGGAGGTTCACAGAGTAAGACTTGCAACTGCCATTTGTCAGTCACCTTACTAGAAATCCTAAGTAGCTGCCTATAACTGTATGTAAAAATAAAATACGGTAATTTCCCACAGATTGAGTAATTTAATTAAGTACAACTGATAAAACACACTGTGTCACATGAAAACTAAGCTTTATTTTATGAAACTATTAACTGCCCAGCTCTATCATACCTTTTTGGTCCGGCATGCCTAACCGCTTTATAGTCACGTGTAAGTAGACGCATCTTACTGAATTACAGCAAAAAGCCTCATGCTGCTCACTAAGACAGCTGGGTTGGTTCACCTCCCACTTTTTTACATCTGTTACTTCCACTTTCACAGGAATGACAGTTTGCAGATTTAGATGCAGCAGCAAATTAACAGACTTTGCCAGAGCAGTTACCTGATTAAGAAGAGCATGGGAAGAGGGGACAAGAGACCACACAGGTGCAACACTTGTTCATGTAACAAACCTTACATAACATTAGAGGTGACTGAACCCACTATCAGCTGTAGATGGGCATGCAATACAAAGTGTTGACTGGTTTTGGTTCCAATGTAAATCCATGCGCTTCTACCCACAGCTCCTTAGCACCGAACCTCCTATCTCTGGTCACTGTAGATCTCAACCCAATGCATGAATTTTCTGCTAATAGCAACCACGCCAATTGCCAACATTGCATGGCTGACTCTTCCTGCCTCCACAATTAGAATGCTCATGGTTAAGCCCCATGCAAGGCTACTCCCTACACTGCCTTTGCAATTCAGCATTCATTTACAGACAGAAGCTCTCTAAGAGACAACAGAAAATACTATCCTTTATCTGCTAGCAACTCAACCTAAGCCATGTCTTCACTCTTTTTTAATTAAATTATTTGGATACTGCCTTTGGAATATCATTCCTAGGCTGCACAATACATTTTATAAAACAGAGACACACTCAGGATATATCAGCATCGTATATTCTTTTGATGACAGGTTCCAGAGTTTTAAAAGCCAGCTATTACAGACTTTGTTTGATTGAATCACATCTCTTACCCACAGTGTTTGTCCTAACTGCCTGCCTACTCCAAGAAGAAACCAATGCAAGAGAAGTGGATCCTTGATCATTTTCAAGGCCAGCAGCACGGTTCTCCAATACTGAATAGGTGATAATTTTAAAAAGGAAAAAAGAAGGGGGGAAATAGACCACCTTGACTGTGAGTCCTAGAAGACCTGCTCCTTGTCTTGCAGGACTTTTCTGCCTGGGAGGGCAGGGCTCACTTCAACTACAAAAACTGAGGCTACTGGACAGACTCTTTGTTTGAGGGTTTTTGTTGATGTTGATTTTTTTGTATCTTCATTTTAGAACTTCTTACAATTTATTTATTGGAAATTTATTGGACATTGTTAATTTTGGTTGTGTATTTTTTATGTTATCTTTATTGTTCATGACTACTTTTGTTATGTTGCAGTTCTGTATTTTTTCACACTGTAAGGCACCTTGAGCAAGATTTGAACTGTGGAAAGGTGTTATGTATGTATGTAATCAGTGCTATTTTTCTAGAAAAAGAGGTGTCGGAACTCACCACGAACTTCTCCCTTGTTCTCTTAGAATAGCAATAGCATCCACCTGAGACATGCAGGAGCTGAGCTCCGGTGAGCTTTGGCTGGAAAAAAGCCCTGCATGTAATATAAACCTCCAAATGTAGAAAGGAAGGAGCCAGGTGTGCTCACTATGAAGACTACTGTTCTTGTTTATTCGAGTAGTCATATTCTGCCTTGTCCAATGAAGCTTCAATCTGTTAGCCAGCGTCCAGTCTGTTGTGTGTTTCCAACTGCAGTCCCCCGTGCCACCTCCAACTCCATTCCATGGGATCCCCTGATCTTTCACAGCTGAAAAGGAGAGCTGAGACCCAAGAGCACTCCATTCTGTTAGGGGAACTCCACTCATGGATCCAACCAACCATACATCTCCTTTAAACAATGACAGCACAGTTACTGCCATTCAGATTCCATGCTACTAGTTGCGCAACCTGAATGTATCCCAAAGTACTGTGGGTGGGTGTGAGGGAGGTTCTCAAATTTTTATTTTACAAAATCCCATGGTGTGAAATATTTTTTCATCAAATAACTGATTATCTTTGAGTCCTACCTTCTTTCAGAGCTTTATCCATGTTGTGAGAAATCATCAGTCTCCTTGACTGGACAGATTCATGTGCGTTTCCAGATAAAAGAGTCTGAAAGAAAGCAAACATGCACACACCTAAGACATGGATGAATGCAGTATTTAAATAATGACATTTGATTGTTAAATCCAGCAAAGCATACACTACGTTCGAAACATCTAGCCCAGCCTTACGAACTAACAGTCGTTTAAAAAGTAATTTTCTTTCCAAATCTAGGGTTTGCCAAAACTCCGAGCCAGTCTCCTGACTCCAAAAGTTGCTGAGTTTCTTAAATGACCAATCTGAAGCAAGAATATTAAGTTATCATTTGCAAATAAGGACATGTAAACTAATAAGGGAAGAGAACCATTCATCTCCTAGAAATGTCAACCCACAGCAGATTTGACGGCCACAGTATGCAAGATAAGAATACAACCATATAAATGAAGTCACAAGGAGTCAACATTCAATATTTGCTGCCAACACGAAAGGGGGACAAACATGATCGGAATCAACACCTCACCTAGGAGGACTTCTTATACAGCTGAATGTGTCCAATAAATGTGCAACTCCACAGATAGAACCATCTCCCTCAAAGCTTCTCCATCTCCAGTCACTATAAAACCAACACTATGCAAAAAGGGTGATTTAGTTGTTCACCCAAGTTAGCAGCAGTATTGTCTTTGAAGTGTAAGATGACCAGCAACACCTTTAATCACAACAACCCTCAGAATAGGTATTTACAGCTTTGTTTAGATGGTGTGAGGCAAGCCACCATGTCATAAATCATATTACATACACATACAAAAATGCAACATATATATTATAAAAAATTCATCAGTCAAAATATTACAGATACTAAAAGCACTGCTCCCATCCTACCCTGTTTCCTGGAACACTACTAGACATGATGTAATATGTGAAATCTGTGACCGGAATCTCCCTTTTCATTTTGTTTATAAAAGTAGCAGCTTGGGGAAAGACTCAAATTGGACTGGGACCACTGTATTAGGGAAGGGGGGGAGTGAGTGCCATATATGGTAGCAGGTATAGGGCAGGGCTTGGCCAAAATGCCCTAGTGAGCCAAATGGGGAGTCTTGGCAGGTCAAATTTGGCCCATGGGCTGGAGGTTTCCCACTCCTGTGCAACATGGAATGAAAGTGCTCTACATGGAAAGTACGGCCTCTCATTTCATGGGCATGCTATACACTGCTAACTGTATACTCAGCGTACTTTCTTCTTATGTACACTTCTGAATCACACTCAAGGGTTATGAACATATGAAACCACTTTATACTCTCATGCCATTGGCCCATCTACCCCCATATTGTCTAGTCCAACTGGCAGTAGCTCTCCAAAGGCTCTTAAAACCAAAACATTAAACGCCACAATATAAAAAAAGCAATTACGAAAAGCAGCAGAAATAAACACACACAGCATAGCATACAAGAGGGGTTTTACTAAGAGCATTTGCTTGGCTTTGAAATGCCAAGCAAAGCACCATTCCACATTTGGGGTGGACCATCAAGTAAGGAAGGTCCTTTCTCCTGCAGCCACCTACCATGCCAGAAATGTAAGGGGCACTCAAAGAAGGGCCTCATATGCTACAGTGCTAACCCCACTTTCCTAAGTCCCATTGAATACACTAGGATTTACTTCCAGGACGACATGGTTGATCTGTACTGTTATTGTATGGCAGGTACGTGTGGAAATGAACAGTTCTACTGGCTTCAAAAAAGGTCTAAACTAGGTCAACAAAGGAGCTATGGCCCTCTCCGCAAAGAATTCTCAGATATTCAGTTCAAGCAACCAAACACAGTTCTGTGCATATTTATCTCTCCCTCTTGGTTATCTTCAGTCAATGAAAAGAAACAGAAAAACCAGCACCACCACCAAGCCCATCAACTATTTCTAGGAAATTATGAGGAGGAACAAAAACAGGCATAGCGCCAGGAACATAAAAATAATGGACTGTCCACAAAAGAAACATCTTATTTCACTCTAGGGCCCAAATGAAAAACTCAGGTTGTGAAGGAGCACTACTAGATGAGTCACACATGCTTAATGTTAAATATTGAGACAATTAATATTCCTCAGTGGATCCTGCCCTCTCACTCTGGGTGTCAATTAACGCCAGATTTAAGTTTTGTAATGAAGAGTTGCTGCTTCTAATAACATTTTAGTATTAGTTCTCGGGCCTGCTTTGGATAATGATCCTCTTGGCCAAATAAGCGGACATATGAACAAAGCTTTTGCCTGTGCCCACAGCCCTTCTGTTGTAGAAAAAACCAAACCAATAAGACTCTAACTAACTAGCATTTCCCATTTTGTACAAACTGGAAAACTACGGGTTACTAGTTTTCAAAGAAGCCAGGATGTAAAGCCAACTTCAACTATGGAAAAAGGCTTCTATGTTTGATTACTAATGCTACAAAGGAAGGACTGAAGGGGGCATATATGGTGGGCAAAGGTTTGTTCCCATCCAGGGCTTTTTTTCCCAGTCAGAGCTCACAGGAGCTCAGCTCCAGCACCTCTCAGGTGGGTGCCATTGCCATTCTAAGAGAGAAACATAGAAGTTCACAGTGAATTCTGGCACCTCTTTTTCTAGAAAAATAGCACTGCTCCTATCTCAGCTTATTAAACTGAAATATATGGCCTATTCTCAGATTCACATACACAGGAAGGTCACTTTTGTGTTGCTTTAAGTACACATGTCTTAACTGCTTCCTAATCATTATTATAAAATGTATTATTATGATTATTAATTAAATTTGCATACCACCCTTCCTCCAAAGGCAGTCCCGTTGCTCTGTCCCAGCTCCTGCCAACCTAGCAGTTCGAAAGCATGCCAGTGCAAGTAGATACATAGGTATCGCTGTGGCGGGAAGGTAAACAACGTTTCTGTGCGCTCTTGTTTCTGTCACAATGTCCTGTTGTGCCAGAAGCGGTATAGTAATGCTGGCCGCATGACCAAGAAAGCTGTCTGTGGACAAATGCCGGCTCCCTCAGCCTGAAAGTGAGATGAGCACTACACCCCATAGTCGCCTTTGACTGGACATAATTGTCCAGGGCTCCTTTACCATTTTCTTTTACCTCACAACATAAACATAAAATGTAGAGTACACATATCTTTTATTTGGACCGGGATCTAAAAAGCTAATGTAGGGATATTTTATGCTACTTTAGGGATACTCAAGAGATTTCTGTTGTTTTTAACTCCCTCAGACCACCCTCTTCCAAATGCTGTATCACAAACTGTTCTAGAAAGTCCCCTCATTCAAAAGTGATTTACTATGATCACAGGGAGTAGGGTGTTCGGATCAAATGAGCCCACAGCATCTGGGAATTAGTTACACAATTATCTGAATCTCAGGCTTGAATGACAAGTAAGCTAATATTGGGTAACTTCCCCCTGAATCAAATAGCTGAGAAGCCATGGTGTGGGTGGGTGTTACTTATTAGAATGAATGAACTTCTCCGAATCCTTAAATAACTTTTTTTTTTTTAAGAATCATGTCAAGAAATACCTCACTAGAAAGAGTACAGGCTTGCTGGGAAAGGATTTAAGCAATACAAAACAAATCTTATCGCATGCAACTGCTTCTCACTGACCTACAAGAGTGCTCTATTTAAAATGTGTTTACAGCAACAGAACTCACACCAATGTTGAAAAATTAGGAACAAAAGGGGGGCGTGGGAAATCTCAAGCCTGAAGGTCAAATGCTTCCCAGCTCTCAGGGCTCTCTTGAGGCCATAACTTTTCTCGGGCTCTGTTGTCTATCCTCAAGTGCTTTTGCCTGGCTGAAATGTATAACAGAACTGTGGCAATGCCTCTTGCCTGTCTGGATAGAAAGATGTGTTTATGTGGCTGCATCCACCACATGCAATATTGCTCATGAAGGAATGTGTTCCTTTGGCTGAATAATGTTCATCCCCAACAAACTAGAGTGAAGTTCTGAGTTCTGACTACAAATACTTCCATTACATTTTATGGATAATATTTATCTACTTGGATTATTTATATCCCACCCAGAACGAGATTCTCTAGGCTGCCTACGGTAGCAATAAATAAATAAAAGTTACAATACAATTAACCATAAAAACAAAATATAGTACCCTGCAGATAATAATTTCCGGTCTACAAAACACCCACAATTTGAAATGTTATTAAAATGTCTACAAATCAATCATTACACATGCATGCCCGCACACACACACACATAGCAGATTAATTCATACTTTACCCATTTGTGCTGTCAATTGTTAAAGAGTAGCATACAGGTGGATTTTTCCATTGTCACTATATTTTTACAATCTGAAACTGAAGTTCCAAAGCATGTCCTGACCAGAGTATCAAGCATCCACCATGAGGAAACTTAAGAAAATCCAGGTCTGGTCAATGCCTGGAACAGAGACCTGTTGTGGGAACCGTAGAGTTCCAGGATGTAAGAAAAATGGAAGAAACAACCGTAAGAAAAGAAACGAAACAAAAAACAATATTGATCTGGTTGCCTGTAACAAATAAGAATCAGAACCAGGCAGAACATATTGTATAGAGGTTATTTCCACTCCACACACATCCAGAGTGGAGTCCCTTTGATCTTAGCCAAAAGGCCGAGAAGTGATGTGGAGTCCCTAAGATGGTTGGATGGTGCCTTGAATGCCTCCTTCTGGCAACTCTTGGTGCCAAACAAATTGCTCTCCTTTCCTTTGGACCACATGTGAGGCCGGGGGGGGGGGGGGTCTTGTCATCTGGGCAGCCCAGGATAGGGTTGCCATATTTTGAAGAGCAAAAAAGATGATGCTAAGAAAATACAGCGGACGCTCGGGTTGCGAACGTGATCCGTGCGGGATGCACATCTGCAACCCGCAGTGTCTGCAACCCGCAGCGGCGCGTCTGCGCACAGGCAGGTTGTGATTCAGAGCGTCTGCGCATGTGCAAAGCGCAATTTAGCACTTCTGCGCATGCGCGACCGCCGAAACCCGGAAGTAACCCATTCCACTACTTCCGGGTTTCAGCGGTTCGCAACCCAAAAAAACGCAACCAGAAGCATCTGTAACCTGAGGTGTGA